TATAACTTAAGGTTAAAACTAAAACTTAAAATACTAATAGTATAAAAAATATTAAATTAAAATATAATAAGAAAGTTACTTAAATAAAATTAATATTAATTTTATTAAGAATTTAAAAAAATTATAAATTAAAGAATATATTAATTAATCCTTAGTTATAATATATATAAATAGTAGTGCGGATTATAACTTTATTACTCCTTAAATAGTAAACTTACTTAATTTACTATACACTAAGAAAAAATAACTTATATATATATTTAATATTACTATACTTAATACTAAGATAATAATTAACTATAAAATTAATTATCTCTTAATTATAATTTTTAATTATACTAAGATTATTAAATTTAATATTATACCTCTTAGTAACTATAATATATTACTTAAATACCTATAGTTAAAGTAAGGTAACCCACTTATTAATTAAAGAATTAAAAAAATACTCTAAGAAATAAATATTACCCTAGAGTTATAATTAAGCTATAAAGAGGGTAAAGAAGGCAAAAACACACTTATAAACTTAAAAATAAAATCTTATATATAATAAAATAAAAAAAAACTAAAAAAAAAAAAAATAAAACCTAAAAAAAAAGTTAAATTTAATATAAAAAAATTACTAATATTACCTTAATATAACTATAAATAAGTTAAGGGAGAATAAATATATATTAACTAAATTATTAAATAAATAAAAAAAGAATTATAAGCTTTAAATAAAGCTTTATTAAAAGTAAAAGAAAAAGATAAACTAAGAGAATTAAAAAAAACTCTTTTAAAAGTACTTTAATAATATAAAAAAAAATATAAAAAATTATTTAATTTAATATTAGAAATAGTATAACTACTTTATTTATAATAAAATTATTATATAAATTTTATAAATAAAAAAAATATAAAGTTCTTTTTAATTTATAACCTTAGTAAAGTAAAATTATAAATACTTTAAGAATAAATATAAAAATAGCTAAAAAAAAAATATATTAAATTATTTATATTACTAATTAAATACCCTATTATATTTATATTAAAGAAAAATAAAAAACTTAAATTAATTATTAACTATAGATAGCTAAATAAAATTATAATTAAAAATTAAACCCTATCCGCTTATTCCACAGCGGGCCGTGCGTATGGCTTAATGAAATTCCGGGGGGTTATAGCCTGTGTGCGGCAGTAGCAGGGGGGCACAGCTTAATGTTATATAGCTTAATAAATAACTAAATTATCTAGGAAAAAGCTTTATATATATATATATAAGTGCTGCGTGGGGGCGGGGCCCGCTTGCCTAACTTAAGCTAAAAAATAAGGGGACTTAGTTATATAATAATTATTATTATTATTATTATTATTATTATTATTATTATTATTATTATTATTATTATTATTATTATTATTATTATTATTATTATTATTATTATTATTATTATTATTTATATTATTATAGTTACTATAAAGTAAAAGAAAAAAAATATATACTATTATAACCTATTACTTATAGTCACGATAATAGGCCTATAGGGTAAGCGGAACTAGATTAACTTAAGACCGGATAACTAATAAAAGCTAGATTAAGAATTAATTTCTTAATTTACTATAAGATTAATAAAATAAATAATAATCCTTAATTAAATTAAGGAATATTCCCTTAATCCTATTTAAATTAATTAAATATATAAGTTTACTTTTTTATACTTATTTAAATAACTTAAATAGCTAGTTATTAATATAAAATTAAAATTATAATATACTTTACATTACTTATTATTTAATAATATTATTATTATTATTTATATTACTTAAAGATCTCTTAATTACTTTACTAATATAAACCTAGAACTAAACTCTAGGTTTATCCCTTAGGAAGCCCTTATATTACTAACTATTTAATATATAGTTTATTATATATTAATAACTCTTATTTAAATAGTTACTAAACCTATAGGCAATACTAATAAAATAAGTTATATAAACTTTTAAGACTTAATTAATAAAATAAATTACTTTAATAGGGAAGAATAAGCACCTTAGTTTAATAACCTAAACTATTTAATTAATTAACTTATGGCCTTAGAAGTAATAGTTTAAGGAATAGTAATTTAATGCATTAAAGATTAATAAATTATTATTAATCTTTAAAGAGAAATTATATAACTCTAAACTTAATAAAATAATTTATTAATTATATAATTACTTATAATACTAAGAGTATTACTTATAGTAACTTTAATATTATACTTAAGAGGTAACTTAAAACTTAAACTTAAGAAGACCTTAAGGGTAAAATAACTTAGTAAGTTTAATAAAAATACTGCTAAACTTTATAAATTTTAATATAATTTGTATATATACTTTAAATACTATTACTTAATTACCTTTTTAGTAAATAAAATTAAATAAAGAATTTATTTTATAAAAACTTAAATAAAGGATACTGCTGTAGACTAGTTTACCTTAATCCTTAAAGATAAATAAAAACCCTATAATTAGTAAATATAACTTATTAAAAATATATTTACTAGCTATAAGGAGTTTAAAAGATAATTAGAAAAATTCTTTAAAATTATTAATAAAGCTTAAGAAGCTAAAAAAAAGCTTAGGGACCTTAAGTAAAAGGGCTTATATTATAAATACACTTTAACCTTTATTTAATTACTTACTAAAGTTAATTAAACTAAGGAATTAAAAAAGAAAATATATTATTATAGCTTAAAGCTAGAAGTTAAAGATAAAATTTATAAAATAGATTAATAGGCTATTAGCTTTATTAATTTTATATAAGAAGTAATTAAAATTAATAACTGCTAGTGGGAAAGAAAGTAAAAAAGGAAGGCAGAGAAGACTAGGAACTTAATTAAATATTACCCTTAGCTTAATTAAGGAAAGAAATAAAATAATTATATTATAAAAGATAATAGTACTTAACTTAGAAAAATAAATATTAATAATATTAATAAAAGGAAGTTTAAAGGTATTTATAACTCTTATGGTAAACTAGGCTATAAGAAAGTAAACTGCTATTTTAAGATAATTTATAGATTTTATAGTAAAAAAGGCTATAATAAAGCTTACTACTATATTAAAAAAAATATAAAGAAATCTAAGACTATTAAAAATAAGGTCTAAATAAATATAATTATAAAAGTACCTTATAATTACCTTAGCTAAATAGCTTACTATAATAATTTATATTTTATATATAAAGGCAGTAAGAAAGGATTTAGATACTATTTAAAGAAACTATAAGCTAAAAATTCCTATAAGACTATAAAAATTAATACCCTTAATTTTTATAATTAAGTCCTAAGTAAGAAAGAAAACTTTAATTTTAATAAAAGCTATAAGTATTATAGATTTTATAAGCCTTAATATAAATACACTATATTATAATTCTTACTAAATAGCTATAAAACTAATATAAATAATAAATATAGCTAATGCAGTATTATTATATAGTAATTGTGATAAACTGTACACTAGATAATTAGTAATACAAGGGCTTCCCAAGGGATAAACCTAGAGTTTAGTTCTAGGTTTATATTAGCGGAGTAATTAAGAGATCTTTAGGTAATATAAATAGTAATCTTAGATACACTGCTACTACTTCCGGAAACTACAGCCTCCCTAATTTAGTCTTAGACTCTTGCTGCTTTAGCTCTAACCCCGCTTCTAGTACTTTTACAGTAAGTCACAATTACTAAAAAATATAAATACCTAAGCTTACTTTTATTTCTTCTTAAGTACTTTTGACTTCTTTCCTTAATTTACTCTCTTACTACTACTAAATTCTCCCCCCTTTTTATTTTTTATATTAAGTAAGCTTCTTCTCTTATTACCCTTTCGCTTTCCATTTTTCTCGTATTAACCCTATGTCTTCTTCTGGATCATTAATCGTGGCTCTATAATTGCTATTTCTTATATCTGTTTAGTAATAGCTTGTGGTAAGCCTTGGGCAAAAACTCTCTTCCCCTTAACTTGCATGTTGTGTGAGGGTTTCAATTATCTGTCACTATCTCTACCAGTCCCGAAATACCTCAATTTGTAAAACTCTCTTTCTATATTCACAAGGCAGACTTATCTCTAACCAATATGATCCCAGCTCCATAGGCATATCTCGGATAAGCATGACTCACCCCTTAACAACGCGGAATGATATTATACCGTAACATTATCGCGTGATACATGGCCAGGTTGAGGCCTGCGTTTCTTTTGGAGTAACCCCGTCCAGTTGTGCTGCTTCTTTAGAGTAGGACTAGGTTCTCCTCCTGATATTCGTTGGTGATGGAGGGTCGCGTGGATGGAAGACTAGCGCATACTCCTGCTGTTGTATCCGAAGCTGAGACACCATGAGCATTAGTGAGCCCACTTGAAAAGAAATGGCTTATGAGCTGATATATGTCCTAGCCCATTTTGTTTGTGGGATTCGCTTTTGAGTATGGAAACTCCGAGCACAATGATAAATTATTGGGTGCCGACCACTATGAGCATTAGTGAGCCTACTTGAAAAGAAATGGCTCATGAGCTGATATATGTCCTAGCCCATTTTGTTCGTGGGATTCACTTCTGAGTATGGAAACTCCGAGCACGATGATAAATCATTGGGTGCTGACTAACAGTATATTGCTAAAGGGGTTGTACGCCACCGTTATGGTTTCATTTAAGTGCTTCGGCAGATATGTGATTGGCAGATAAAGAATAATATGACGTGTTCATGGAAAGTCTGAGTCTGTTGCCTGTTGTTCCAAACGGAAAGGAGATTGCGAAGCAGAAAAAGCAACAGCACGCGGAGGGGCGAACGAGCCCCTGTAATTAGTGCTAAGAGTAGCTGGTTTGCATATTTAAACTATCTATTCCCTCCTCTTGAAGTTTAGAAAACCCTTAATAAGACAATGCGTTATTACTCTTATTGATTATTCTTATGATACATTCACTTGGGAAACACTGAGATCCATTATGTCTGACTTTTTGTTTCGGTGGCAGGACGTGTACACGCCTGCACGCTTTGGAGATACTAAGCTATTAAAGCAGTAACATTTCTCTCCATCCGGGCCGCAGGAGACTTTAATTCCAGACTCAAACAGCCACTTGAATCATCCACCTGGTATTTTCGGCATGTTATTTAATGAGATAATAACAATCTTATCTGATTCTGAATTAGAAATAGAGGCTGATGCTGCTGCAAACGGAGAAGGCAGCTTGCAGTGTAATGAAGCATGGCCGTCAGTTGACACTGCTTCTTTGTACACAGCTGCAGCGCAGATGGATGAAATGAATGAAACTCGTAAGTATTTGGACCTTTCTTGTTCTAAATGGAAACTGGTAGTAATGAGTTTACTTAGAGAAACACGGCGCAGTATCTCCTGGCGCTAATGAGGCTAATGGATTTTACCAGCTAGATTTGTTAACAATTGGCCAATTTAGCGAAGAGTCTATAATAGACACTATATTCTTAGCTTTATGCCCAGACAGTTCTATTCAGACTCCGAAGCTGCCTTCTATATCACCAGCATTTAGATTGCCTTAAGCAGATGAAATAGACGAGGGATTATAAAATCCTATTAATAACGTCAAGGGATATGTTAACCATACGCCAGCAAGTAGCACTTTTACGCCGCTAGACATTGTCCCTTATACGCCTGAGACTTGCTCTTTAACTCAGCTATGTCCAGATATTATAAATATATTTGATGCTGAGGTAAATAATAATGAAATTTCTTTTACGGAGCCTAAATGGCTTCTATCTCGCCGTACACGGAGAGCCGAAGTCTTACATGCGGCCTTGACTCTAGAGGGGGGAGGCCTGGATAGCAATTATAGCGGCGCTAGCAATAAAATCGGCCGTATTTACGACTACGGCGACAAAAGCGAGAACAGCGATAGTGACGATGGAGATGACGACGACGACGAGGCTGTATCGGAGTATTGCCCTTCCGAGATGAACAGTGGCAGACAGAGAAAGCATCATCTGGATAATGATATAGATGACGAAAATAAACAGCCACGACGCAAGCGTTGCAAACATGAATAATATCTGGCTAAGAGTGGACCGTCTCGCTACATGTATGATGGAAGATCTCACTCGCCTGCTAATACTAGACCGTTAACCCCTAGGAGGAAGATTACGCCGAAAAGAAACCGACCGAGTCCTGCAATGGGTGCAGTATACGAGGAGCATACCTTTTCAGACGGTACGACTGTAAAGCGCGCTATTATTGATGGGAAAGAGATTTTGCAGATTGACCAGCCGGGCAATAAAGACGGATTGCGGCTTGAACGGTCTTACACAATTCATACCTGAAGAAACATCGATGCATATGATAAACGTGGTATAACAGTTGCTAAAATCGCTGGCAATCGGATGAAACGAACCCTAAGACTCACTTTTACTCCTAACGAAGACAGGCTTCTGAAAAGATTGAGGGTGAAAGAGCAGCTTCCATGGGACGCTGTCTATAGAGAGTTTAGTAAGGAATTTCCAGATCGGCGGTTGTGTGCAAGCTTATAGGTGCGCTTCTCCATAAAGTTAAAGGAGCGATAGAAATCAATATATTGTAGTATTTAATACAGTCTTGTGCAAAATACCCTTCCGCTTTTTAAAGTAATTTCTTTTAAGTAGGTGGGGGTACGCGTTGGAAGGTACTTGAGAGTACCTAGCCAGTATCTTAAAAGCCAAAATTGGATGTTTTAGGAGATATAATTCTATGTAATATAATAACTTGATATTAGTGATAGAGTATTTAGTATGTATAAAGGTTCCTTCCTTCTATTAACCGGTTGCGATAGTGCGACCCGCATAGACCGGTACCTCTAGTACTACTCCTACTGCCTTTCCACATGTGCTTAGTGGGTTCTCGATCTGATATATAGCTCTTTAAAGCTCTTGTTATAAGAACTGCTACAGTTTATTAGTCGCTTGAGAGCGGCCTGACGAGCACTGGAATCTTGATTGGAGGCTAAGACACTGAATACCTTTTTTTTTTCTTATTGAATTTCTTCAATCGCTCGATTTCGGCTTGTAGTTTGTCTTTGAACCTCGTCGACTATAGTCATACTCGCACAGTCTTACCATCTTCCTCACATCTTTGGCAAGGCACTCAGCCGTTGCACTAGGACAGAAAAAAAAACATTAATGAATGTAACTTATGGTATAAGACCGATGTTGAGTCTAGCGGACCGTTGGAATATGACTTGCCACGAACCTTTGATCGCTTCTTGCGGCAGTGCTGACACGCTGTTTGCATTACATCCCGAGGCATGTCGTCGCTGAATTGATACGATCCTAGAAGTATAATATTATTCTCGCTGTGTTGTTTCTGAAGCTATATAGTTCTTCCTGAGCTTATATATCGTACTTTCGTTTCGTCGAGTGATGAATCTAGCATTCCATAGAATTTGATGGTTATGATTACTAAGATTCTTGTTTAACTAGTTGTAGTTCACAATTTGTTGTGCCCCGCATTTATGGGTCACCGCGTTTGCCTGAATAGTTAGTTGCTGTCTCATGAGCCTCAAAAGAAAACAATGATTAAAGACTTATTATTAACAATTAATGTAAAATACGGATCCTTTAGCTTCTCGCTTACCACCAAAGGCGCAGTAACTTAACCCCACTAATTAAGTATGATTCTATTGTTTTGAAACTGACTTTGCATGCGGGCCACAGCCATCGTCCACATAGTCTTTTGCGCTTTGCTCCGTCTCATGTACGTTCATCCGAGTCTCATGAATTAGTCTCAGTTGATCGTCATTTCGAGCTTTCAATAAATAAGAGAGTTTGTGAAGATCCTGCAAGGGTGAACATAGTTGTTTCGTATTATTTGCATTGTGGTTGTCGTTATTCATACCCCGACTTGAACTTGAATATAAACCCAGGGCTGCCATGGTAGGCTAAATTTTAGCTGTAGTGCTCTTGGAATGTTTTAAAATGGTATAGTTAGAAGGCAAAGTATAGCTAATGCAACGCAATTCATTACTTGATGATAATGGTCGACTGGCAATAGACATTGTGGCTTCTAATGAGACCTAATAGCCTTTAATAATCAAGTCGGTCGCAAGTCGTTGATGTAACTAGTATATCACCATGATGTATTGTAAATTGTAGTTATTATAATCATGTGCTCACCATCATGAATCATAAATGTAACTAGCTTACTTAATGGACGTTAATAATAAAACATGAATCATACATCACACTTAGACTTACTTGAACTACAGCATACATGGATGTACATGTCATTTAGCGAACCAAATTACTTAATTTCAGCTCATAATCCTAATAACCGACGTCACCATGGTGCTATATCTATTATGAAGGGGCCATTAGGCTGCAAGCTTCCCCCTCCTGTGCAAAAGAAGCTCTTGCCGTTTTGATGCTTTAGAAGATAGCCCTACTGGTATGTTACATCTCCAACTTGAACTTTGCTTTTTTTTTTTCTTATTGTGATTTTGCTTCTTCCCGTAAATCAACAGCCACCTTTAAGGCCCGAGTAAGCCAGCAGCTACTTCATTCTGCGTATAAAATAGATCAAGACGAGCTATGAAAGCTACATTTTATCTCTGCAAGTTGTTGTTGTGTATGGTTTCGTAATCGATTCTCCAACTGGATTAAGTTGTCTATGACGCAGCTCATATCCTTTTCTTTATCGGTGCACTTAGGAGGCTTGGCAGAATTCTTGTAGTTGGCCTGGGTGACAGGCCATGTGCTATGTCTAGGCCAGGTTTGATCTTCAGCTAAATAATTGAAATCCATGTTCTGCATATATCGACTATGAACTCCGACTGGAACGAGGTCTTTCCATGGCGTGGAGTAGATAGGGCTTGTTTCTGGCCGTTGCATATCGTGAATCGGTGCAAACTGCATACAACCATGCGATGGCCTTGTTAAGGCCTCATTGCCTAGCGATAACGGATAAGATTCAAAAATATCCTGCAGTATGGGATAGCAGCTATTATAGTCATAAGACATAGCGTCGCCCGCATTGAAGCGGATATCACTGCCGTAACTTAAGCATCCTGGTTCCTCGGCTTTACATAGTTGATCCTACTTACACTTAGCGGATTTTCCTGCAGCCGATAATATCCAACTTACTTTAATATGTTGAGGCGAACTGTATAGCAAACCCCTTGCTATATTACTGACCACTTGGCGATACTGGGGCGCGGCGGTTAGAGTTGGATATGTTGTGTAAGAAGACCTAAAAGAATCCTCTTGTGAGAGCTCTTTAGGCAGTGGGGCTGCTTGATAGGTCTTTGGTGAAAGCGGTAAACTGCCAGCCTGACTGTAAACAGAGTGTGACGAACCGTACACTAGATAGTTAGTAATACGAGGGCTTCCCAAGGGACAAACCTAGAGTTCAGTTCTGGGTTTATGTTGGCGGAGCGATCAGGAGATCTTCGGGCAATGTAAACAGTAATAACAAATGTCACCAGATAGTAAGCAGTGCAGAGCGTGTTGCAATCTTGGTTCTGTGTTAACAACTGGCTATCTAAGTTATCTAATGAGCGTAGAGAAGTGAACTTATATATCCAGTTGGCTTTCCTGGATCGTTTTGGATCGATGGTGATTCTCATCGATCCGAGATGTTGGATCATGATGGATCGAAGCCGATTCCCTTCGACCCGTTCTTGATTGGTGGTTCGGTCCTAAGTTAATCCGAATCTGCCTACCCGGTAGGCCCATTGTTGCGACCATAAGTGTTGGGTCGTGACACAGAGTCATTGGCATATACCCTTGCTGAGCATCTGCGCTTTGATGCAGCGCTTGTGATGTATCTTGGATCTTGGTAATGTTTTGACATTAAGCATCTATCCTCTGCTGATGAAGGAAAGGGATGCACTAGAGGTGTCAAAAGTAATGCTATTTTATTGGGGAACAGTTCGGGTCGATGTTACGATTAATAACTGTAAGGTTACGCAACCGTACGTGGGGATATGATGTCGGAAGTTTACATCATATAGGTAACGTAGTGATGTCCTTGCACGTGTCTGAAATTATGAGTTCGAAGCTGACTAAGACAGTCTTCTTGCCTCGCTACAGTTACGCCTTCTCCAGCTCTGTTAATGGCTTGAACTGTCGATCGCGTACTGCTCGATGGGGCCTAAATTGCAGTAAGAGTGACAAAGACTCCCATCGAAAAGAAGCGGAGCTGCTTCTCGCCTTCTCCAGCTTACCCGAAGCGTCGCAATATTGTGCATGTCTCTCATAATCCACAACCGGCATCTATCAATGGCACATCTCTACACATCGTCAGCACACGGGAACAGCGTGGGATTCTGCAGATGTGACAAGCGACGACGACCGTGAGAGTTGAATCAGTTCGATGCCTCGCAGGATCCCGCGCGGGTTGACATCAAGGGCGACACCCTATATCATTTCCGCGAAGAGACAGTCATCCAGTATCAACATGATTGGGCCTCAAAGTTTTAGCGGCCGTAGAATCTGGTCTGGACAGTGCGATCGAGCCATTGACAGCAATTCTCTTCTCGGCCGTTTGGCTGCACATCATTTCAGGTTGCACGCAGACGGAAAAAGTCAACCGCAGGCAATTGGCTATCAAAGCAAGATTGGGGCGAAGCTAGTTGTGCCCCCCACCCCACCTGAGAAGATATATATGCGTTGCCTTCTTGAGCAGTGGCGAAACGAATGATGAAAAGCCTTCCCCATACATGCAGCCTACTACGTAATTAGTGTACTACTCGTACTTAAAGCTTGGCCATCCGGAAGACGCAAGGTTTCCCCATAAAGAATCTCCAAATCTATTTTTTTCGCCACTAAATGCTCGGTTTGTGTGTACTCAGACCCAAGCTACTGCCTGAAAGCGATTCGATTCAACAATCTATATGTTCAATCGCATCTACTGTACCAGCTAGCCTGGACCATACTCTTTTAATCACAGCAACCATAAAGCGTAAACAATTCCACACACTATGGATTCCGAATCTGCCATGACGGCAGCTCTCATCGATCCGCAGCTCGAGCTGACGGTTCAGGGTACCACCGCCGAAGGCATGCAGTACTATCAAGCCCTTTCAACTTCAACAGCATTTGAACTGTGGAACTTCATGTTCGAATCAATAGGAGAGTTGCCGCAACCTGCACAAGACATGGGGTTGATGGGGTCGGACTTGCACAGCGATGAAACGTCTTCCCTGTCCCTTTCCCTCAGCACCGAGCAGGATATGCAATTTCCACTGTCCCCACTGGATGGCTCTGCCAACTTCGATGAGTCACCTGGAGGTACATCTATGTCCCCGGGACTCTCCGAGGCTGGCACCCTGAGCACAGATCAGAAGACGCCAAAGGCGAAAGAGGCCAAAAAGGCACGCCGGCGTCGCAGCGAAACGGAAAAAAAGGAACAGATTAAGCAACGGAATAGGGTGGCCGCGTCAAAGTGCCGGCGAAAGAAGAAAGCAACGGTGGACGAGCTCAAAGAGATGAAGTCGAGCTTGGAGGCGCGCAACAAAACTTCATATGGAGTACCAGCAACTTCGCCAGGAGATTGGCCGGGTCAAGAGCGACCTGATATACCACAACGAGTGCAATGATTCCTATATTAATCGATGGGTCGAGAACGAAGCCAAGGGCTACGTGGAGAAGCTGGTGCGCAACAATGAGCGACAGCTCATGGGCATCGGCAGCGCTGACGGAGTTGTCGACGCGGTGCATATGAGTTCCCTCCACGAGACAGCTACCCGCTGCCGGCAGCTTTTCCACTTTTAAAAAATAACTACTCTAAAAGCTGCCCACTGCGAGCAGGATTCCCCTCACTGAGAAATGTTATAAAGCTGCGCATAGCGGGCAGCAAACCAAATAAAACAACTCAAAGCTACCCAATATAGCAACTTTTACACCTAAAAAGAAAATAAAAGGATAACATTAAGCTAAACCATATCTTCCTCTTATATAACATAGCTTACAGAGTGCTCCTTGGTGGCTGCAGAAAGGAAATGACTTTGATGACTTTTATTAGTATCTAAGCCATTATCTAGGTACTTAAGCATTGGCGCAGAAAGCTGCCCTATAACAGGAGTTACGATGCAGGCTGTCGCAGCCGCTAGCGTTCTTTTAGTGATGAGCTTTTCAACGAGCTGGTTCGGTCTTGGATACCTCTAGCGATACATCAACGCGATGCGCTCCTCTGCATCTTCGATTGATCCAATGACGCATTATACTTTCTCAATTCTTGCTCAGCCTTAGCGGAAGTCGTCTTTCTCGGGCTGATAGTCGAAGACGTCTCTGTGAGCCCCGTGGAAGACAAGCTCAGGTCATGAACCTTCTCTACTGCTTGATTATCTTCCGACAGTCGACAGGACTCTGAGCAGTAAGTCGCACCATCTGTCAGGGCATCACAGCTAAGGCACATATTATACGTCCATTCTAGGCGTGAGGACATGTTAGCGATTTTTGGCATTTTAGGTTATAGAATGATGAATGGGTTGGCATATTCATATACTACTGACAGCAGGTGGGCGAGCCTCTTCTCCATCCCCTCCCCAAAACAACCTAAAGTGGTGGAAATTTCCACGCAGTGACGCAGAGCCAACGTACCATCAACGGCCTACCTTTTAGCCAGCGGAAGATGCACACGTCATTGGCGAAAGCCCCGTTTCATTGCCAAGTGTTGGAATAGGGAAGTATGGGTTATTGGCGACGTGAATGGTGAGGAACGGTCTGAAGCTTTTAGTATTGCTGCGACGGATGCGAGCCACTTGACAGCACATGCTTGGCCTTGCCGAGAACCCAAAGTATAGGATCTTTTAGCTACTCAGCGGAAAGTCCTCTGAGTAAATGGGTTCTTCAGAGCATCATGTGGGATGAGAGCGGACCTGGAGTTGTTGTATCTGCCACTGCTGGGGAATGACCTAACGAGGTGTTGGATGCATGGACGCACCTTGTACATCGCGACACGCCAGGACCCTTACGATAGTGATTAGATTGTGTATGGAGACTAAGTGAGACCGCAGTTGCAAGCAGCGCAGGTGCGATCCATTCCGAAGGGCAGAAGTGATGGATGGGGCGGCTTGCTCTGGGCCGTGCGACCTGAATGCAACTATACACTATTGATCGAATTATTCGTAGTTTACCCCGCACTAATCGACCCACAACTAACTGCTGACACCTCTTCAGGCACGCAATCAGCTTTTAACGAATTCCATTGGTCTCGCAGCATATTGTGTATGACAAGCGTCTCATTGCCGTCCTCACTGAGGCCTGTGCGACAAATAAGAGCTGGGAATGTGCTACCCTTGAGCTAATTTTCGGCGTAGATGATGGAAGCTGATACCATGTTGAGATAGTGCTGCAAATATTCCTAAGAATGGACGATATCGGAAGATATCTCTAAAGAATCTTGAAAATACACACCTAGATTGTATCTTGGTGCTAGGTCACGGAGAGTAATTCGACGGTTTCATGTCTGTAAGTTTTCGGGCCCTATTGTTCAATGCGCATCTAGACAGATAGTGCGCTCTGTCAATTGCTCCGTCCATTTTACGATATACGGCCTATCTTTACATACACTAGGTTTCACCATGCTCAGCAAGTGGTGTCTTTATTGTTTATCATCATGCTGTTTGTTAAATAGGGTCTCCTTACAGGGCTCATGTATATCCCAAGAAATCACTCCCCCTGCTGCAACCTCGATATAGCTTTGGACCAAAGGTGCTTGAACCCCGGTAAGGTCAGGGCTGGAGGGAACTTAATAACTTCGTCCCAGCTTAGCCTCTCGTTTGCTTGCTCAATTGCGTCATTTCTTTGCTTCTTTGCCCAGTCCTTACCATTTCGATATGCTGCGGCTCCTTGCCGAAAGGCATCGACATCATTGGTTAAGGCAAATGCTCCGAGCTGTGTTACAACAAATCCTGGTTGCCCAACCAGCGAGGATAGTTGTATTGCATGGATAGCGAAAATCTTCAATTGTCCATCCAGATACAAGCAGCCGAGAGTATGAGATTTGTTATCGTATGAAGCGTGAAAGGGATTGCGCGATCGAAGAGCCTGTTGGCCTCTTTCTCCCAAAGCCATATTGTAAATCAGCCGTCGTTGAGCTACAGCTGCAGACCCGTCCTTCCCTTTTACTTCCACGAAGAAATTCGGCGCGACAGGGAGATCACTCTGAGTGGAAGGGACAATACGACCGCTAAGTGCTTTGCGTATTTGGGGGTGGAGCTGCTCCGGACGCGCACCATAGAATATATCGGGGCTGGCTGGCACAAGTGTACCGTCCGTTAGATGCTCAAGATTCGAGAATAGAATCTTGCCAGCGAGGCATTTTCTGTCCCCTATGTCTCCTTCAATAATAGGGATGACGCTTGTCATGATAACTCTCTCCTTTGTTGCTTGCGCTTCTGCTTGTTCGAACTTGCGGAAGTCATGGTTTGAGAAATGACTCAGCGATGCTCTGGATTGGGCCAGAACCCGAAGGATGTCTTCTTTATTTTCAAGCTTTGGCGGCAATCTACCATCTGGGAACTCATAAGCATGAGGAAATATGCCGTAATCGATGAGGTGTTGCTGAAAGGCCCGGTCGTATGATCGTATATTTTCCCTGCCTGCTGTTTCCGGAGTGATATTATGTTCTGAAAGTAGTTCCAAGTCACTTTGTTTCGCTGTTCCGTGGCTCTTTCTTTCTACGCCAAAAAAGCGGGCGAAGTATTGTAGCTTAGCAATTCGCGGGATGACGAGCCGAGCAGTCCACCACTGTTCCGAATCAGACACTTGATCGATGTGGTCGCAGATTTAAGCCTACCTGAAGCATTGTTCGCGCCATACAATGAAGACTGCCGTGGTTTGACAAATGAATCCTTAAGTTAGCAACCGGCCTAGATCTGATTAGTAGGCGTACTTGTTAGAACAAGAATCATATGCATCAAGGCTGCGTGATCGACTTTCAGTTAACTTCTTGTGTTGTGTGCGCCTAGTCATACGCCACATTTCAGTATTCTCTTATTCAACTACGCTCGGCAAACTATACAATTTCCGTCAAGTCAAGGTTAGACTAAGCCCCTTAGCCGATAACAGTCAACTAATTCGAGTTAAAGCTCCTTTTTCATCTACAACGACTGCATAGGGCCTTGTGAAATGGTGCTTCAAGTTTGCCTAAGCATTAACAAGAACTTACTTAGATGCGACACTCCGGCCGACAGGGAGTCGAGTGGTTTTATGAATGACGCCATTCGTCAACAGGCTGAAGAGATTCATGGTCCCCGAGAGAGTCTCAAGGAAAATCACGAAAGGGGCGCTTGATCCGTAGTAAAGCTCCATGCTCTGTCGAAGCTTTGTGGCTCGTACTGATCTGATGATTTCTAAGGCGCATTTTCCTATTTAAGTAGACAATTAGCTTTTAGTCTGGTGAAAATCAGAAACTTAGCCACGCAGACTCAGCCAAATCGACGATCTAGGCCGCAATAGGGTATACGTACTGACCGGAATAAGTAATTCCTAACAATTCCATCTACCTTGGGAGTATATGGTTTATTTACATCATATCTACATCAATTTTTCCGTAAATTTATTAGAAGTTCAATCTGTTAGAATAGCTGAAGGGTATTTGCATAATATTGTGATATACCTTCTCTAGAGCTTGCTTATTTGCAGAAGGACTCGGTACATGAGATCAGCACTGATTGAAGGTACTCACATGAGCTGTTACTCTTGGAAAAATCAACACGACGATTGGAAAAGGCTCCTATTTATTAAGTTTACGCCACCTTCACAATTTTACATCATCTCTCTTGGTGAAAATAACAATAATGGTATGTATACAGAACGCCCACCTTCAAATTCGCCAAGTAGTAGCGTCCACATTCGTCAGAGCCTGGTTACTACCTATCGCAGTCCCAAACACAGCCTTTGGGTTTCATATTCTTCTATGAATGTGCATCATCAAGATTAATATATTATGCCCGCTTAAATCAAAATCAGCACATATCAGCCTAAACTAAGCTCAACTAGAAGTCCGGATGTTCCCACCTCGTGGTTATTAAAACTGACATGATTGTCCGACTACCGTATATTGTTAAACTACGAGTGAGTAAATAAAATATCCGCAGTGGGAACATATATCAGACCAAATTGACGCTAGCATTTAAATACATCAGTTCCAGGGTTTCTGTCCTAAAAGATTCCCTCGATTCTCTACACGCAGTCCTAACCTACTTCAACGATGGGAGGGGAAGTCCTTAAAGCCTTCGTTTACCCCATCCATTGAGCAACGGAAAGTTGTGAGACTCTGCCGTATGCAAAATGTGGTAGTGTCAGCGCGGCCAGGATCGGGCAAAACGGCTACAGCTGAAGCTATTATCGCCGCCCATCCGGACAAGCGAGTAGCGGTGATCACTTATTCGAAGAGACTTCAACTTGAGACGCGTCATCGGCTTCATAATTATACTAATTGCGAGGTTTTCACTTTTCACGGGATGGCCGGCTCGCTTTTTGGAACTGTTGTGCGTAATGATGCTGAACTATTAGAACAAAGAAGGAGAATCCTTCGTTGCAATGCGCTTCCTCGCTGGAATTTTACGCCATTTGATATTATCGTTTTGGATGAATTTCAGGATTGTACTGAAATTATGTACTGGCTAACCAATTGCTTCATCCTAGCTAACAAACAGGAGACTGACGGTCATTCTCCCCAACTTGTCATACTAGGTGACGAGCGGCAATCTATATATCGATTTCGCGGTGCCGATCATCGCTACCTCTCACTAGCTCCTCAAATACTTGCTCATACAAGTCCCTACCCATTCGTTAAGATTCCTTTGAGCCAAAGCTTTCGGCTATCGGATCATTTAGTTCAATTTGTCAATCGGGTTTTTCTCAATGACGAATCATACATTTCTAGCTCCAAACCCGGTCCTAAACCTATCGTGCTGAGATGCGACCCTTATGATAGCTATGCGCTAGCTAAGAGATTGTCAGCCCTGATCAAGCGCTATGGAGCAAAGAATAGCGCATTGATAGCACCATCTCTGAGAAAAAATAAGCAATTGCAGCTCTTGACAAATATATTGTCTAAGAAATATCGCATTCCAATTGCTATATCGACCAATGACGAGGTGGCTCTAGATGATAGAGTGACTCACGGGAAGATGTGTGTTTCTACTATCCATCAGTTTAAAGGCAGCGAGCGTCATTTAGTTATTCTCTTCGGTATTGATTCCTCGTTCTTCGAGTATTTTGGCAGCGATATTCCAAACGACAGGTGCCCCAATGAGATTTTTGTGGCTCTAACACGAGCTGGGAAACAGCTTGTCATAATCCACGACGAAAGCAAGAAGCTTATGCCTTTTATATCTGTGAAGGCTCTATACGAAACAGCCGAGGTTGTCAACATGACAAATAATATTGCGAAACTTTCATTGCCCGACTCACCTGGCCGACCTCTAAAGCTTGGACTTACTCTACCGACTTCCATCAGCGTTCAAGATATGGTGCGACACATACAGGACGAATCTCTGCATGGCATTATTACTCGTGAACTATGCATCCAGAAACTTTCCCCACCGCTACCCAAGCAAAAGCATATTAATATGCCCAATGTCGTACTTTCAGACCCAAGCAAAAGATTCTACGAAGCTGTGAGCGATATAAATGGGCTTGTCACTGTCGCGGCTTTCGAGCACAGTACTGCCGGAACGCTAAATACGCTGAAAATCGATCAACACTTCTTCAAAGTAATACCCCCCTCCGACTCACTACAGTATATCTCTTGGCTTTGTCGCTACGCATGTGAATATGAGGCTGGCGTCTCGGGCTATCTACCACGAATAAATCAGATGAAGGATCACGCATTTGATTGGATGATGCCTAGAGATCTTGCCTTAGCCCGGAACAGGATTCAAGGAGAACTGGGAGACGGCGCCGCGAATATTCGGTTTGAAGTTAACGCCGAGCAAACGTTCAGTGTTGATGATAATGAAACCCGCCTTCAAGGTCAAGCCGATATTGTCGCAGTCGCTCCCCCATCAGACAACAGCGGTAGTAGAAGCGCTGATTCTATCTGGGAGATCAAGTTTGTCTCACACCTTTCTAACAGCCATGTCTTACAAGCATGCACGTATGCCTACTTACTGGGGTTAACACGTATCATGCTCTATAACGTGCGAGATGGGGAGAAATGGGAAATCATACCGCATGATGGACAAGAGGGGCTACGGCGTATGATCGAAAGCGTTCTAAGAGTTAAGTATACGACTACGGGGCAGATGAATGATAAGGAGTTCATTGATATGTGCGCAAAGGTCATGCTGGAAGTCTCAAGCCTAGATGATTCACGGGAGCAAATATCTCTCGCAGATTGCAAAGCTTAACATAACGTTAGCAGTGAAAATGCAAATAAAGACTAAGATAAAGAAAGCTGCCCTACTACGGCGTTACTAGGTGGTAAAGAAGAAGCTTAAAATCTCGCGTGCGCATTGTGCATTCAGGCGAGGCCACATTTATTGAGGACAGGCCATCAATTGAATATAAAGAGAATTTTGTGAGCTATACCGTCATGGGTACAAAAACATTATTAAGGGTCCATATATGTGTAGAGGCTGTGTGGCGCAGTGGTCAAGCACAGTCTTCCAGAGAACACAATGCTGAAGGCTCTCTCTAGCCTTTCGGCGCGGCTATTCTAGAATAGCATAGAAACAAAGGTTTTCCCCTCTTATGGGGTTTTTTCCTTTTGATATTGGCTTGTTAACATCAACAAAAAATTTTTCTAATTGGGATAAATAAATATAGCGAACAAGGGTCGACGCCACTGGCTATTGATTAATAAGCTTCGTGTCAAGCTGGTCTCAAAAGAGCAAGACTACTGATGGGCGTAGTTGCATAAAATAAATCCGGTTTCAGATGCATGCGAGAGCTCGTACCGCTCAATGTACCGCTCAATGTATTACGTATAGGTTAATGTAATTAACACTGTAATGCACATTTCCGTGCGCTAAATAGTTGATTTCAATAGGACGGCTATTTCGCTCCTAACTGTAGCAACGCCGTTGGAGACTGCAAATCGCAATCTAACGAAAAATTCTACGGAGAAAGGTGTCGCGGGCCTTGTCAAATACTGCTTTTGATAACCTTTATTTTAGTTACGGTACTTGTGGGTTTATATGCTGTACAGTAGCATTTTGTTTTGACATTCCTGTTGTCTCCTAAATTAACCTAAGCTCAAATTCTCAGGTCCCTTGCTACTAAGAGCATAGCTCATGGGATGCTATACCATGCATAATTTGCTGTAGGCCCATTAGACTACTTAAAGTCACCCGGCTTATGAGACTGCCAAAAGTTCCTTGCATGCATGCTAACATATCCACGAAGGTCATGAGACCACTCGCAGCAACTGGTTTGTAAGACTAACAGAAGTCCCTTGTATATATTTAAGGGGCTTATGAGACAGTAGTGATATGCATTACTAATAAACCACACAACCTCGTCGCTATAGCCTATTCCTTTTAAGGACTTAGCATGCCCAAAAAAATTTTACCCCTCATTAGAATCTTCATCACCAAACAAACTCAACGCCACGCACAAAATTCCAGAATCTCCAATTCACATGGTGCAGATTATATCTCTAGTAACAAAAGAGGTCACTGAAAATGATCTTGTTACGCAATGCGAGATACAAGTAAAGGAAACCCGCGTTTTTGATTCAAGAGAAAGATTGATTGATCAATTTATAGGTTGGAAAGAAATGCTTGAGCCCTGAATGGAGAGTTTACAAGAACGGAGATGAGGTTATACTCCAGGATGATACAGCAGCAATACTTATTGAAGTCTCTAAAACATCACCCCAAATCAGGCTTTTCCATTTTAAGCCTATTTTTACATTTATAAAAACAGTAGCACCATATCAGTACAAACTACACACAGCTATCGTACCATGGGAAGAAGGATTAGGATTTGTTTGTTCTGGAGAAGATGAGGATGGGAATAGTTTGAAGTGTAGAATAGGAATTGTTCGAGTGGCTCCCGAATAGATTCATTTGCGGTCCTCATTCTTTGTCAACCGCTGGATATGGTAGGCGGCTTCCGGTGAAATATGAATCATTAGAAAGGACGAAGGATCTGAATCGCCTGGGAGTACCAAATGAACGCCATGAGCAGCCAATCTCTCGCGTGACAAAGCGTAAATGGTCTCGAAAGGCAGAGAAACAATCTGTCCGTACTTCAATGTCTGCATAGCCGAATCCCTAAAGTTGCTTTCTGCTATTCGAATGTCAGTGTTCCTTCAGGCAAACTGTGATTACTTGGTGCGCTCGGTCTTGTATCCTTACTGTGAGTTGGAGAGATATTTGATAGGTTGTCTTGATTTTCTTGAATAGTGGTTGATTCATTATCTTGCATGAAGACGTCTTCGCTTAGAGTGCTTTGGCGACTGGACTGGTCATACGAGGTTCGCTCAACCTCTGGTGTAGTTTCCAAGTCTGCTGCGGTTCTTTGACCTGTTTCAAGATCTAGTAAGCATACATTAGCAAGCGAATCAATTCCCATTGACATAGAAACCATACTTTGTGTAAAAAAGTCTTCATGTTCCTTATAAAGTTGAGAAGTATAATCTTTGAATGACTTTGATATCTTGGCTTCATGTTCCATCCACCATGTTAGCGCCTTGTAAAAGTTCTCTATTCTTTTAATGCCTCCTATCGCTGTTGTAGACATGGAAAGCACGCATAAGAAGAAGGGATCGTGTCCCATTCTGAAAAGTTGAATTAGTACCGTTCGGGTTTTCTGATATCGCTTTTCAGTTGACCTTCCCTTTCCAGCTGTCTTCTGGCTCCAAAAATCTTTGACCGGACCAAACTTTTTGAGCTTTCCCGTGTCTAGTGGAACGTCTTCTGCAAACAGTTTAAGTGTCTCTTGCATGCTTTCAAATTCCCGATAGTACGGCTGAACCAGAGACATTGTGGGTGGGCTGAGCGCGAAAAAAAATGTGGATGGATGAGCGTGAGATCAATGAGCGTGAGATAGATGGATGAGCGTGAGACGGATGGGCGTGAGACAGATGAAATAAATAGAAGAAAAAGAGTTATAGTATTAATGCCTTAGGCGTAAGATAATGCTACGCCATGGGAGCATTTCGGCAAAATTAAGGAAAAATTAAATATGCGCTTAGCTAAGCTATGATAAATTCGCTCTGTTTCACAAGTAAAGCGCTACTAAGGCTTTAGCTTTAGCATAATCTTCTTCATTAAGACACTCCCAGCACACTTTTTGTTTATAAATGATAAACATTTCACGGGTTTGCATATTAAATGAATACTCGCAAAAGATCTGCTCTACCCCACAGACGCAGGTAGCTTGTCTAATAGAAGGTGGTTGTGATACTATTCCTCAAAGTCAATTAGTAGACCATTCTCAATGCGGTTGGCTTAGTCAAGATACCTTCGGAGACAGTTCGGGTGTTGGTTGGTGCGGTACTCCGGCGCTGAAGAGCAGGTTGGTGGTCTTTTTCCCACTGTTGAGAGTTAGGAGATAACCCAGTTTGGGGATAGCTGTAGAACCTGATGTTAATAAGTTTTTATTTTCTTAGGTGGCAATCTCTAACTTACTTGGAGGTAGTAATAGGCGATCTAGATTCTTCCTTAACCGGCGGATAATTACATTCTTCTTTGGCCGGTGCGCAATGGGATTCTTCTTTGATCAGTGGGCAATTAGATCCTCCTCTTACAGGTGGGTAACCATAGAAGGCTGACGCAAAATCAGTTTCCATATTCAGTTATAGAAGAGATCCCTTCTGGTGATTTGCGTAAGGTTTTAGTCGGCACAATTCTCGCTGTGATGTACATTATGAGCCACTAGATAAGGAACACACTCTCTTTATACTTTAAGAACTTATCGCATAGCACTCTAAGTTCCCTTATAGTAATAGTATTACTTACCACTTCTATCTAATTAATAATTCTGGAGGCCTCCTGCGCCCATGGATATAATTAACTAAACTCCCAAGAAATTTTCGTTCTTATCCAATGATAGAAGCTCCCACAGTGAGACCTTTCGCTAGCGTACAACATAACGCTGGATGAGATATTTAATGTCTCCCTGTCTCACGAGCCGAAGGACCTTTTGCTAGCGCGGGAGAGCCTAGAGTCTCGTTATCTCATAAGACCATTTGCTAACGCAAGAGTGAGTCTGGATAAATTTAGTAACATGATCCCATGAGCTAGCGACTAGTTTCTCATGGGCTATACAGTCTCGTAAGACCTTTTGATAGCGCGGGCTGAAGAGTGAGCTTGGATGTTATATTTGGTTCATTACATTATCTCATGCGCCAACGGACTTCTTTCTAGCGTAGGCTGAGACAACATTTGTCTCATGGGCCGCGTAGTCTCGTTGATAGCGCGGGCTGAAGAGTGAGCCCAGATGATATATTCGGTTTCTCACATTCATGCGCCAACGGACTTATTTCTAGCGTAGGCTAAGACAATAGACGTCTCATGGGTAATCTTGTAAGACCTCCTGCCAGCAGGCTGGAGAGTAAGCCCGGACAAAATTTTTAGTCTTTTGCTACCTAAATAACGAATATCTTATAGGCGGTCATGCAAGTATAAAAGCCTCTGACTAAATGACTCCCGCAACGTATTTTAGTTATCTGTCAACACTTTACTACTTGGAACAATGGCATACCTCGAACACCAAATGTATATGCATTTTTGTGTAGTTAAAGGCTGCCCTTATTCATACGAAGAAGAACGCCAATTAGAAAACCACTTACTCAATGTGCACCAGATGGGTAAATGTATGTATTGTCTCAAATATCAACCTCTTATTGAATTTGTCAATCATACAGAAGAACATCTTGAGCGTGGCGAACGTATCCTGCAAGGCAATATTCATTTCCCTTCTGAATACACACCAAACACGGACGTTGCAAGCCATGAGGCGGCGCGCAATTGTACACAATTATACAGTCAACTTTTAGAAAGAGAGCAGCCCTCGCCAATCATCCCGCAAAGTCAGCAACGCAACTTTATCTTTCCTTCTGAACACAGGAACGGTGCAAGCCATGAGGCGACATTTAACTCTACGGTGCGCAATATTAGACAATTACGCAGTCGGTTTTTGAAAACTCAGCAGCGCAACGTTGTAAGCTGTGAGGCGGCATTGGATTCTACGGCGCACAATGATAGACGATTACGCAGCATAGATTTCAAGGGGAGAATTGAGAAACCGGGCACTATCAAGGAACTGCATGATTACTTGCTTCGAATCAACATTCTAGAAAGAGAAGACGTGTGTAGATTTTCTGATATATAAAAGATTTTCTGATTTCAAGATTGTTATTCGTGCCCTCACCTTGTGAATTTTTTTTTTTATGGCACGTGAAGACTTCTGGTCAATCAACTTAAACAATGCATAGACTAAAAAGAACAAACAGCAGCCTGCTTTACAAACCTAACCTTCTTTGACTTGGTATCTTCTCGCTTCCGTTTCCTTTTACTGGCTTCTTCAATAGGCTGCCATGCCTCGTATGCAAGAGCCGTTGTCGCACTCGGCCGATCTTCAGGATTGAAAGCAAGCATTTTTCGAAGTAAGTGAGCAAATGGCTTTTCGTACCATCCTTTCCTAACACCTGATTCTATAGTCGCAGTCATCACAACATGTAGTTGTTGGTCCATTTTCTGGCCTTCGGGTACTTGGAAAAAGGCAAAGAGCCACGATGCAGCAAGCCCCCATATATCAAGCTTTTCCTTATCCAGGCTTGCACCCTTCTTCCAGACTTCAGGCGCAACACAAATGCTTGTATTGAGGTTCTCTCGAGGTTGCATATCAAGAGAAATAACTGCATTGACGCTCATCGATTCCAGTTTCGTGAAGATTAGTAACGATTCAGGATGTATATTCCCATGACTAATGTCCTTTTGATGTAGCTCAGCCAGCCCCAATAACGTCTGGTAACATAGGCGACACCGATTCTCATAGAGTTTTGACCACTGTACGTTTGCAAAGCTATGCTTAGCTAGAGGCATAGAACAAAACATCTTCTTACAATATTCAGAGCCCCTTTTCCGCTTATTGAAAAAGCATGGGGGGGATATGTTATGAGCACACCACATATCGACAATTCCCAGCACGCCCTTTTCTAGACTTTTGCCGTATTGACTAGCAACTTGGAGCCGCGAATAAGTATCTGTTCGCAATGCTATGTCCGGTCCTAACTTCTTGACTGCGATCGGATCTCCGGTGTAAATGTCAACACCTGATATGACCGATGTTTCTGGTATACAGCCTTGGAGCCAGACGTTCCAGGATGCCATGGAACACGCCGCGGGATAGGCTGATGGTGATGGATAAAGGCCACGGTAGCCATGAGGTTCTATCTTGGCCTCTTTATCTTGACCCTGGGCGATAAATTCAAGAATAAAGCGATATTGACCGATCCATAAGACGTTCCGCCTGTGCCTCATGACGCAACTCCTCCTCCCTAGCAAACATAGCTTTAAATCTTCATTGCCCATATCTCCTTCTTCATATATGATAGGTTGCATGGAGTATGACGTGAGCGTCATTACGTTCGATTCTGCATGGAAGCTGAGGCCAGCATGTAGATCCTCAATGTATTGGCGTGCTATATTGGCACTGCGAGATTCGCCGGGTGGACAAAGCAGGATATCTGGCTTTCCATGGTGTGAATTCTTGTCAGGTGTCGCATGAGACGGACCGGCGCCAATCAGCCAGAAATCCTTGAGGCTGGAGTCATGAGACGATGAGATAGTTGATAGCTGAAAGCCAATTGTCTCTTTATTACTTATGAGAGTTGGGAGTGAAGTTTCGGCCTTGACAAGGTCCAAGAGGTGAATGGCAGCTTCATTGTCTGCAGAAAAGAAAGCGAAATCCACGAGGGGTTTGGGAGGCGCTAGTTGCACCTGCAGTGTTTCGTCCGACATTAAAGTTTCGCTGGCTAATCAATGGAATTGAACTCGCGAATAAATTGAAACCGGGCAGAGAGGGCGGAAAACGAGCGGCGAGCTCACAAGCCCATATATACGAGAAAAGAATTGGAGCGCTCCATACTAATGCAAGGGTGATACCCATGTGCCACTATTGATACCACTAAAATGCCGATGTTCGGTGTTATTAGTATGCCACTCGAGAGCTCTCACGTGATATATGAATACACCGCTCTTCGATGAAAATGGCTCCCTGTCGCAAACTTCACATAACGCAATATTATCAAATCACGACAGCATTTCCTGCGCAATTTTCAACAGCATAAGCCAAACCAACATGGTAAAAAGAAAATCCAATGACAGCGAGCCTATGCCGCACAAAAGGGCCAAGCTCAATCACCCAACTGCAGCTGTTGTAGACTGCCAGACTCTCGATCTCAATACCTCACATAGCACTCTCTTGTCGCCTGCGCGGCTCCAGAAGCGCAAGAGGACGACGGACCTACCGGATGATCCATCAACTGCTAAACGAGCTAAACGATGCTCATCTGATCCAGAGCTTCTCCTGTGGCAGGGCCTTGAGGAGCAGCCACGTCCAGAAGGAGAGGAACCGCACTACGACTTGACTCAGACGTATTTCCGACAATCAAAAATAAGTGCTATGCGCTTCTTAGACGAACACAGGCGACACGATAGAGATTCTGACCACCGAAACCCCCTACCAAGTCCAGATCTTTCTGATGACGAAGTAGCGCAACATGCCACCATCGAGTCCTTTTCGGTACGGGATGCCACGCCGCCAGCATCAGCTATACTTCAAAGAGAAGCGACGCCACCTCGAAAAAAGAAGCGGGAACCTCGCATGCAGAGCAAAAACAGGGCCGAGATTGCTCTGTTTACGCTGGACAGAGAGCAGATTTTTTTACGCTCTAAGCGATCATCTAGACGAGACCAAGGGTGCAGTCTGTGGCATCTAGCCGATGACGGAAAAGCACGCCCTGTGGTTTATACGTGAATTGGCGGAAGAGGGAAGGGGATTTGGATTTGAGTCCGAGTCAGCTTGAGGGCATACCTGTTAACCCGGCAGGGCTGGGGGCAGCGGGCAGCCCTTGAGAATAACTGACTCCGAGCTTATCTGAGGCGTTGGAGTATACATTTATCTTCCTGCAACATGGTCGTCAATCTGACAGGGTCGGAGGCAGCGACGCAGTTGAAGAAGAAGATGAAACTCTGGTCAGTCACAGTGTAGCTCGTTCATTAGACATGGTCGTTATCCTAGCAGGGCTGGGTGCAGCGGCGGAGTCTTTTGGATGCCTCTTGAACATATTTCCCGGATGTTGTCGAATTCTTTTTCATAATTTATCTCCTACAGCGACAAGATACTGGTTTTCATCTAACTAGAGGTACCCCTCTGCAAGGTGGATAACAACTTAGATAGCACAGTTGAAGAAATTAGCGGCTGGATTACTTGCTAATTTAAGACTACTCAGATTCTGACTCCATTGATGCCTCCAGCTTAGCACTGGATCCCCTCAGCATATATCTACTTCTATTTCCACCACTTGTAGCAATGCGCTTCTTCTTCCATTTTTTCAGCGCCCCGTTTGTCAGTCTCCCTTGGCTGTCTTCATCTTCATCCCCGTGTCCTAGTGCAAGAAATGCCCTGTTGATTTCCTCATCCGTTTCAGCTGAGCCATATGCTGATTTCATATCCGTTCGAGTCCACACCCCCAGGTGTGCCTGGCCCGGTGGAATGCCAAAGATAAGACAAGTTCTGCCATTATATGCAACTTGCCAGAGTTTAAAGTCGTCCCATGAGGAGCCAAGAAGCGCAGAAGGTGTTTGTTTGACCATTACATGACGTCCTTCTGCATTATTATAGACGTCCTTAGCAGCTGGGTAATCCTTCATGGGGATCAGATATGCATCTCTGAATTGCGGATCTTCCACAAAAATTGGTGTTTTAGGATCAGTGACCACGAAATAATAAGAGTATATGCACTCAATCCACATAACGTAGTTCCGTCTCTTGATCGGTGCATTGTTTAATACGTCTGCAGGATGCAAAGCAAGGGTAATTGTGTATGGACCATCTTCTACTTCATCATACCACGCTCTTCTCACCGGATCTCTCTCCGCCTTGTTCGGCCCTTCTGCAAAGAACGACTCATCGACGGGTTCTTGTTTAACAACCGATTCTTCTGTGCCTTGATTGGTGCCTTGATTGGTGCCTTGACCCTGGCTTATGCCTTGATTCGTGCCTTGATTTGTGTCTTGACCCTGGCTTGTGCCCTGGCTTGTGCCTTGGCTTGTGCCTTGATTCGTGCCTTGATTCGTGCCTTGATTCGTGCCTTGATTCGTGCCTTGATTTGTGTCTTGACCCTGGCTTGTGCCTTGACTTGTGCCTTGATTCGTGCCTTGATTCGTGCCTTGATTTGTGTCTTGACCCTGGCTTGTGCCTTGGCTTGTGCCTGGGCTTGTGCCTGGATTCTTGTCTTTATATGTATATTCTGCTTTTATGTCCGCGGCTCTTCCAGAAGCCAAAGTAGCATCAAGCCATTTTTGGTTTAAAATAGGGACATTTTTTTCCTTTGCCTTAGTGATTATATGAATTGAATTATCAGTGACCTCTCCAATTAATAGAACCGTCCAGTCGGTACGGGCATTGGTTGTTATATCCGAATTGGTATAGGCCGTGAGACCGATTGACTTCAGCTTGGTTACAAGAGCGTCCTGTTTAATAGACTCCAGCTTCCCCTTCTTGTTAATCTTGAACTTTCCGCCAAGAGCAATAACATAATTAAATGCCATAATGAATAGAGTGATTTGTTCTAATGTAATGTGTGAGCTTGATGATTGTTTCTCATGAGCATAGCGCACACACTCTTATATATATTAATATCTTAGAGTACATTACGGTAGCTCCCTTAGCCAAAGCCTTAAATTAGGGCATTAGCAGGTTAAATTTAGTCATGCTGCATTTACTTGCTTAATTTACGCCAAGACCGTAAATTGGACATTGGTAGGTTAAATTTAAGGTCTTGGCGTAAATTAAGCTATAATGTTCAAGGCAGTTGCAAAATAATAAACTGTAACATGCACAGTGGACAAATCATTTTAGAAACAAGTATTCATGGGTAAATAATATATTAAAAGTACTATACTGGAATGGTCTGCAGATCTTGATCTCCTTTTTCCAGCTTGGATTTCCGAAGAAGTGAAGCATCATCCTCGCTCATTGTATCACGTTTTGCCCTTGTTGTTCCAGCCTTCGATTCTTTCAACTTGTTGCGGGCGAAAGAAATTGGCTGGAATTCTGTCTCTTTGAACTCAATGTTCTTATTGTCTATGCTTTCAATGACACCAGTCCGAACTTTGGCCATAAAAGGAACATCCCCACAGGCTATTGCTGTTAGTATCTCGAAAGATGCTAGAGGACCCTTCTTACCTATAACTGCAAGACTGCCTGACAAGCGTTGTCGTTCTTCTTTGATCTTATGCACTAAAAGCTTCTCAAAAGTTTGAGATGGTACTGAATAGATACATTTCCAGTGAGATTGGCCTTTCGTAAATGGCGAATAGCCGCTTTCAGGCTTTGGAAACCCACACCAGGCTATAAACAGTTTCTAGAAAACGTCAGGAGGCGGGAAAAAGGCCATATGTTAGTTTACGTACATGATCTGGATCAAGTTTTTGGAGAGCCTGAAGTTCTTTTTGTGCCCAAGACATTTGAGAGTTATCTTCAAGAGACCAATATAAATCCACTTTCTTGATCGCATCGCGATGTAACTTCTGTCTCTCCAGCTTTTCCTTTTCTTCTATCAAAAGTTTCTCTTCTCGGAGAATATGAGCAAGTTCGTTAGCTGGCGCCTTACTCTTCTGTTCTATCACCTCCCGTAGCTTATAGCCAATCTTCAGTAGCTTAGCTCGAACAATGTCGTCGTGGCAGCGTCGAGCACCAATATCCAGTGCTAAAGGTAGAATTGCGGCTATACCAATCCCTTTTGCGGCAAGTACTACGTTTTGGTGCTTGTGTAGCTGCAAGTCTTGCCCATACGGCCCATCCAGTAATATTAGTTGACCTTCTCGTAAAACTGTAACGATTGATGCGTTGTAGCTGGCGCGAGAGAGCAAAAATGTAACTTCCCTTATAGCCCCTGGGCCATCTTCAGGCGGATACCAGTACACCATTGCCGTGACGCTGTGGAGAAAATTATACTTCGCCCATCGTGAAGGAAGGTATAAATAAAAGTAAGATCCAGGGCGTACTTCAATCGGCCTTTTAAGTCTGACGGTGACTGTTACAGCATCCATATCTCCGGAATAGCTTAAAATTTCTCCTGTGTGGCCCGAGAAGACCATGCGAACAATTCGAATCAAAGTTGTGAAAACCCAAAACGCGCAAGAAGATATAACCAGTGATCTCGCAGTGGTCGAGGATGTCTGGATTATGTGCCAGAGAGTTACGCCAACTGCTCCCATCGCGATCATTCTATGAGCCCACAGAAACCACCGGCCAAACAGTCTCTTGGCAAATGAGATACACATGAGTGCTGATCCAAGAAGCAAGCCGATGGCCTAGCCATTTGTCAGTTAATAAAAGTTATCCTTTGGTATTAGCTACTTACAATCCATCCAGACGTCAATATATTGCCGCGTTGTGAATCTGAGTGTAGAGAAAGGATAATGGATGAATGGGCTATTGCTTCTAGTGCCACAATAATTCCAATCCATAAATGAGCTATTTGATATAGTTGTCGGGAGACATTTAGCGCATCGACAAGATGAGCACGTCCACCAATGCAAAGTGGTGTGATATTAACAAGGCTCGCCAATGCAGTACGCTTTTGCACCAACTGCCACCCTGGTAGCGGAGAGAGTGGCACAAGGATGATTAAGACATTGGCAAGTAGAAAGGTAACGCAAATAGCGGCCGTCATAGGTGCTATTCTGATCTCACCGCCATGATAGAGTAAGGGTAACTTGATGTGCTTGGAATAGAAGGTTTGAGGATTGGGTACAAGTCTTTTAATTAGCCAGACAAGAAGTGCGAGGGCAATAAACCCAAAAAAAAAAACAAGGTACCACAGATTTCGGTCGAGTTCCATGGTTACTTATTTCATAATTGGCGGCAGATGCAAAGAGAGAAGTAGACAGACCACAGACGGGAGATTGAGCGGTTTTGTACGCCACTCTGATGGCTCTGGTCTTAATTTAGCAACTGGGTTCATACCTACATGTAGTAGACAAGCGCCAGCATTGCGTTCGCTGGCTGTCAGGCCACCCAGTAGATAAAAAAGTGGGACGGGCGTTTCGCCTGAGTTGTAAGCGCCAGGTTTTCCTAAAATTAACCCTCCGTAGAAACTAAATAAAACAGTACTTTGATTGGAGTTGGGTTCTGCAAGAGCCGGGCTTGCTCGGCGGCTGCGGAGCACCATTTATGGGGCTCTCGGCGGCTGCGGCGTCCATCTGGGAACGACTTGGTGGAGACGCGTTCCGTGCCTGTGATGCCACCAGCGGCAACTGTCCGGTCTTAAAAAGCTGGCTGATTCTCCTTCGCAAGAGAAAAGATAATAACAAGCAAGCATAACTGTCAAACTCAAATTACTAGACTACTTTCTCTATTGCATCATGAACCCACGGCGTCGTCGCTCTCGCCTCAACAGAAACCCGGCTAGAGGCATGAAAAATAGGCAAATCGGCTTGGGCAAAAAGGCACACGAATATAGTGTCGCCTATGGCTCAGACGTGGTCATCATTATTCAAGGGCAAAATGGCCATTACTCTGGCTATCAGTCACAGCCTGGTCTTCTACGAAGGTTGCGTTCTGTCTCTGTTTCAGATGATCAACTTCTCGGACCAGATTATTTCAGCAAAGAAACACATCGAAAAACATCCTGGTCAGAAGGCTCTACAACATTCTCAACTTTAGAACGGCTTGACTCATCTTCAAGTTCAAAATTGAGCACAGTCTCTGAGACAATGGACGTTGCTAGTGAATGGGGAGAATCTCCTTCAGATGACGTGCTATCTACGTGTTCTCCTTTAGGCGATACACTATTTCAAGACATCGACTTCACGCTATGCAACGAAGATGTTGAAAACAATATGGTCACTCCAAAATTCGAGACGATGTCCACATCTACCAGCTCAAAGAAGAAAGAAGGGCAAACACCAAACTTCCATCTTGCTCAGCCCAAACCCATTTCACTAAGCACAAGAAATACCATTCTATCTCTCATAGATAGCTTTTTCGATTGAAAGGAGAATAGTCACTATTCGACCGAGAATATTTCTTTCTGCAGCCTGTTTCGGGGCTCATGTGCTTTTATATTGCAATTATACCAACTCTTCAGATTCGTTTTATTTCAACTCAAGTGCAACGCCTGCTATAAACACTGGTTCTGTGGAGGCGTTTCACTCTTTTCATGCTTTTGTTTGTTTTATATTTTTCTTTTCTTTTCGCATTTATAACTCCTACTGAAAAGCACTATTATTTAAACTAGCAAACCTAATGTATCTATGGCCTTAGCTACTTCTAGCTGTAAGATGTCTTTACTTTGCACTGAATTTATATTTTTTTCAATTGGATGAACCGCCTTTCTGTAGAGATTGCTCAATCCTTGATCTTCTATAAGATGATCAAGACGATACGGACAATTGCTAATGTTATACTTCTCGCCGTCTACTCCGTCCATGTCAATGGATATTTCCGTCGTAGGGGACAGTGCCTTTATTTTGACCTCCCTCTCGAAGGGTTGCATTGCTCGGCATCGTTGAATAACGTCCTCAGTGCAAACCAAGGCCTTTATTGGTGTAATCTCATCACATTGATAATAGAAGCAAATATTTAGGCGACGAATTCTGAATAGTAAATAGAGAAGAGCATGACCGGGATTTAGGCGGCAACGAACGACGATAGTTATAACCTCTGGAGAACAATAAAACATTGGCATGGTCCTAAGCTCTATATAGAACAAATGACATAGCAGTTGGCTTGAAAATGCTTGTAGTAGTGCTGGAGTATGTTTATCGTTATATTGTATAATCAGATCCCCTGGTCGGCAAATTTTGGCTCTGTTTTAAACTCTGTGAGTATTTGAAACGCGTACACAGCTAGGGTGGGCGTAAAGTCTGACCCTTCTTGTTTGGTATCTACTTCTTTGTTGTTTGCTGGAAGTAGAATCTTTGGATTATTAAAGTTAAGGATTGTATTCAGGTCGAGAAGAAAGACATTGTTCAGGTAAACTCTATCTTTCTTTATTTTGAATCCTTTGAGATCTTTAATATGTGTCTTACATTCTTCAAACGTCCATTTTTTGACAAAGAGTGTTGCGGCAAAATAAAGTCCTATTTATTCAGCTTCTATGACGTGCTTCTCAAGTGGCATTCACTTACCGAGTTCAATACTGTGCAAAATGTCAAAGTGTTCGCAGAAAGGCATGCCATTTAGTCTAGTCATTATCTGTAGCTCTTTTAAGAAACTCAAAACTCTTTCGGGAACAGTGCCATTCAGGTGAAGAATTCTATCACCTGCGGTGGGTGGTTTCATAACAATAACCCTGACATTGTTATTGTGGCATACTCGGCATGATGTATGTTTGAAGCGCCAAGGCTCTAGCTCGTCGCTAAAAAGCAGAACACAAGAGCCACATATGCGATGTTTGCAATCCAGGGTATATCTCGCGAGCTGGATAAGGCAGAGAGAGCATGCCGTTTGAGTAAATGTTCCTGGAAGAAACTTGGCAGATTGAATCTCAAGATGCTGTCTAATAGTGTCGTTGCCTTCTTTACGAGCTTGAGAGACTAGCGAAGAGAATAATAGTTTTACCCGTAGGGTAAAGTAAGGAATGTTGACAATTTTCTCGCATCGATCTACTGCTTCCACATACAGTGATTCAAAGACTCTGTCGGAGGGAAAGGCTGCTGATGCATCAGTATCTATTGCTGCTGAAATAAGTCGCTTGTACTTACGATGCATTAGAGGCGGGAACGCATCCATTGCCAAAGCAGAAGCTATGATATAAGGAAGCTCACGATTGTCTTCGCAACTTTTGAACACGTCGACAAGGCAATCGCTGAGATCTCTGGGTATGGGATAGTGGAGCCTTGAGGCACTAATCAGGTCGAAACGTGACCCTTTTTGCGCCCCATAATGAGCCATGGCCTCTTGAAAGAAGAATTTCCAGTTGACTGGCGCAAAGTGCAACCCAGTTTCTGCTCTGTAGACTGTGCTTCGTAGTAATTCTCTGTCAATAGCGCCGACAAAGTTTTTTGTTTGTCGAATTATGTCTATATTGAACAACCGTTTTTGGATTTGTTGTATTTGAGTTAAGGTATAACTTGCCTTGGCGTTTGTGGTGCGCAATTGGTGAAGCATTGCGACTTCTAAACGACCCCTAAATATTTCGTCGCGGATTTCATTGTCGCTACCAAATACCAACAATATGCATGTTTGATGTTGGTGGTGCTTCTCTATCCCCTCTCGCATCCAATAACAAAGTATATCGATCACACTTTCTAACCCGCCAATGTCGGAGACAAAGAGTACTATTATATCGCTGAATAGTGATAGCGCGTTATAGTAAAGCGAGTACGCAAGACCATGAGCCGTATCCACTGGTTGCTGGAGCAAGTGGTAGCGCAAGTGGCCTGGCTGGTAGCCGCCGTTGATTTTTTTAATTGATGAGTCTGGCTGCAAGTGTAGCTCGCAGTCTAGGAATACCGTATTAGAATTTCCAGGCTGAGGGCCAAGAGCCACCGAATATTCTGCAGCCGATTGTCTGCTAAGGCCAAAACAGCGTAGAATACTTTGTCTTTTTTGTAGCCCCCCTATGACAGTCACAACTTGGAGCTTGTTGGTTTCCAAGGCATCTATTTCTCTATAAGGAGCCAGGTTTTCTTGTAAGTAAGGTCCTGGCAAACCAGGTGCACTGGCTTTTAGCTCGATTAGCGTGCGCAGGCTCATGGTGATAGTCTGGTTGCAAAATGAGAAAACTACGACAAGAAATTAATAACAGTATATTTATATTACACTGACGAACACACTTTAGAATATGTGACTTTGCTTGATGATAAATTTTGGCATTTAAAGCAAGTGCCTCTGCTATAGCTAGGTACTAAGCGCCTGCTGTTAGGTACCTACCAGACATAGGCTAGTACTAACTAGACGTCTCCAGGCTTGTTTAGTGTTCGTGCTCTGTCCGGTTCTTATTTAAGCACTCTTGTAGCGCTTGTCTTAATATTAAGTCGCATGCTTTGTCTTTTACTAAGGCTACCTAACTTAAGACGTGGTTATTGATTATAGCGCTCTTATTGTACTTAAATAAGCATTGCAGCTAGAAGAAGTCTGTAGAGGTAGAGTACGTTCTTGTACTGCACTAGGGCTTAAACACTAGTCCACAGCCCTACCCGGTATTGGAACGTGAACTTCATCTCATTCAATCCCTCAGAAGTGCGAAGAGCTTGGAAAGACATTGTAATTGCCTTTGTTCAATAATGGCTATCCCGATAAGATATATCGAAGGCAATGTTCAAGTACATCTATCTCTTTTTAAATCTCAAGATAATAACAACAATGAAACCGACAGTGGGATATTAATCTCGAATTTCGAGGGTATACTACAAAACTCAGACCATAAAGTAGTAGGGCACGTTGGTCCAAAATTGTATAATGAAATTCGGCGAGTCCTGAATTGGGACTCCGTTCGATCAGCTCTTATCCCCTCACAAGATGCCACAGCAGTCTTGATCAACAATGGAATCTTCTGCTTCTTGAATGAAAGCTCTTTGAACTCAGCGAGAGAATTGTACGGCAACGATTTCAAGTGCATAATCCAGATATGTTGCATTCCACCCCGTGAGTAACTTTAAATACGATATTCTTCTGCCCCTATTAATCAGATGTACAGCCCGACAGAGGAAGCTATCCGATGGGGAAATATTTCGGACCATGAGATACTTCATTCACCAAAAGAATTTCGACGTAGCCCAAGAGTGGATGAACGAGTTGTCTCCACCCAAGAAGCATCATCTATCTCTTATGCTTGGTCGCCCGGCAATCATGAGCGCCATGGATGAGCTCCTACCTTTTCCTGGTTTATGGTCCGGGCTACAGCTAGGAAATTGGGCCAAACATCTGGCTGCGCATGCTGACGAGCTTATTATTAACTATTTAAAGCACATAAAGAAAGTGTACCTAAAAATTTTTCAAGGCCACGAATCTCTGAAGCATCTCCTTGATGACGATACCGTACTTCAACTTCAATATCGGTCATTGAGATGGTCTATCCGTGACCAGAAATTTATCCGCCGTGTGTTTAAAAAGGGAACTATCTTCAGGAAAATCTCCTCTGAAAGAATTAGGGATGATCTTATGAAGAATGTGCTATCAATACCTGGAGTTGTCCCGAGTATTGCAACATTTCACGCCAATATGAAGTATATAACTATCGGTGCCAAAATTTTGGAAAAATATATCGAGATCAAACCTACGAATCATAGACTTCAGCGACATAGCATTACGCGAAGCAAGTCGAGTCTTTACGATAATCTGAGAACACACTGGACTTCAAACCGCAAAAGTATACAACTCAGCCAAGGAAAGTTCGTGCAAATGAGAGACACGGCAAATGCATCAAAACTGTGTTTCTTACAGCTCCTTATGACAGCTCTTAGATATTTTCCGCATTTATCATCAGAATCTCCACTGTTGGACAAGGGAGGAGGATGGGTGGGCATAACGCCTGATGAAAGCTTTCAGGCGCTGCTTTGTACAACTGCTTGGAAATTAGGATATGACAATGAGAAAATTCGGCGTCGAGCAGAGCGTGAACCACCCTTGCTGAGATACAATCCGGTCTCGCGTTTAGAAATTTGGCGCGGAGGCAAGCCCCCCTTTCAGGTTTTTGAGCTGCTAGCAGACGCGTCATTTCTTCCTCAACTCCACTCGGCAGCACTACAGAAAGTCGATTTTCCTAGTCCTCTACAGATTCAGGGAGATATGCTAAGCGCTTTCTTCGGCACTTTCGAGGATTTGTCAACATTGATATTTGAAAGCGTCGATATGAATCAACTCAATGTCCCTTTGTCTTCTGTCGAGGAGAATTATGAAGATGATGAGGATATGGACGACGTCGAAGACAGTGGCGCAGAAGAATATAGCAACGACATAGAACTGAGAGACGCAGAAGAAAACATTGCCAGCCGGAGGGCAATTCAGTCAACTAAAGGAAAGAATAGACGAGCGGCAGCAAATAGCAAGGCTAAAGTAACGAGACTACATAAGTCTGGCAACCGTCCTAGGCAAATGAGTCGCATCATCAACAACCCAACTAGACAGTCTTTAATTGACGAGCTGGCAAACACACACCCAATTCCAACTAGACACTCCACTTTAACCATTGATATGGACATTCAGCAGTCAGAATATGTGCCCGATAACCAACATGTATTGGAGACGCAGCAAGAACAAGAACAGGAACAGGAACAGGAACAGGAACAGCAACAGCAACAGCAACAGCAACAGCAAGCAGTTGAAACATATTCTAACAGCTTGAATACTGGATCGCCATTTGATACAGATATCATACTCGCTAATCCGACTCCCTCGCGTGATTCTGTGCTTCCACAGCCAGAACCTTTGGTACCTCCAACATTAGCAACTTCAAATACCATGTATTTAATACCTGAAGAACAACGAGGAACTTTTGAAGAAGATACAAGAGTTAGTCGAGATAAACTTCGTCAAAATAGACTCGCCGTAGAGGAAATTATTTATCAAAAACAGCGAGATGATGATGAAGCTTTCAAAGATGCGGCCGCACGACGAGAAGCGATTAATAAAGACGCGGCGCAAGAAGTAGAAGCAGTACTTCAAGATAAAGTAAATGGGAGAGATGTCAACCTAAGGAACGAATGGCAGCGCATAGAGCAGAATCGTCACCGCACAATTGGAAAAGCAGAAAAAGCTCGTCAAACTGATGCAAATTTTCGAATGGCAGAGGCAATGAGGAAACTAAAAAAAGCACTTCCAGGAGAAGAAACAGATCGAAGAGAACAAGTATTTAAAGAGGACGAAAAGGCTCGTCACAAAATTATATTGGAAGAGGAAAATGATATCAAAGAGAAAAATAAGAGGAAATATCAGGCAGCTATAGAAGAAGTAGCTCGCCAAGAGGAAATCGCCCGACAAGCAGCGGTACAGGCAAACTCTAGAGAAGATGGGACTCGTCTTTGGGATAGTGAACTTCCAAGCCCAGAACGGTCGCGAACTCCTCCAGATTTGCCTGCCAATCTGAGCGGAGTAGTACAGGAACAGCTTCCACAAAACTAGTAGATTAATGTAGTATATGGCTTTAGATATAGCGATAAAAGTACTATTACCCGATAGGCGATGATGGGCCATCCGCCAAATCCCCTGCCATCCACCAAATCCATTCATCCGTTCATTAATAGCGCCATCTACCAAACAAACATCAATCTACCAAACAAACATCCAGTAAATACATACAAATTCTAATACCAATGCATGCATAAATGGCAGCATGATGGAACCCCACTAGCATCCATCAAATAAGTACATTTGTAGGCTTCAATCGCCTGTCGCACTGAGCTACTAATCGTGCCCGTCAATTACAAAGTCCCCTAGACAAATATATTACGCGTGATTAATCAAGTTTCATACATGTACATACTGACTTTTTATCCATCCATCAGCACTTCATTCGAATCCTCTAGATAGCTATTTGAGAACATCGAGCTCCGGGAGTCTTTTGGCAAATGCTCTACGCAGGCTTGCAGCGCATGACTAGCGATAAATTTGATCCGTTCGTTAGTAACAGAGAAATCTTTCCTAAACATAAAGATATTAGCTTAGATTAAGCCTGAAATATGGCAACAAAAGTGTACATGTACTTACACGATTGCATCTGCCTTACTACAATAAGCGGCGGCAAGAAATATCGACCCCCCAATGAGATCTGCCCAACGTCTGGCGACCCTCAGGCGTTTTTGGACATTTTGTCGCAAAGCTGAGGGGTGTAATGAATCTCTTTGCGCTTTGACGTAGATATCAATAAGAATGCTGGTGTTTCCTTTACCGACTGTCCTGCGCAGCCGCCCACGCCTAGACCCTTTCACTATCAGGGATCTCAGCGCAGTCGTCAACCTTATCAATTGGACGTATGCAAGTCTCAATTTCCAGCTGCAATCGTGCTGGGTTAGAATTACGCCATCGACAGCTGCCAGCGCATCTAGAGTTGTCCCATCGCCTGGGACAGTACTCATCGGAAGATGAGTTTTGCGGGACAACCATGACCAAAAAACATATATGTCCCGTTGATGGGCTTCAAAGAATTGTAATGCATTCTGCCGTATTATTGGCGCAAGTAGATTAGTGTCAATAATAATTTTTGATGTATGATACATTGGAGAGCCATGCTTGATCTCCGCTTGCTTCGCTCTGAGATCTATATCTATGTCCACATCCATTGCAATTGGCAGCATATTGGGATTGGCCATAATGAGCGCCATTTTGAAGTTCTGGATTAACAGCAGAATGTAAGTAGGGATATTGAAGTCGGGACTGTACGAGTATTTATATCTATTTTTCCTAAGAGGCAGCCACTAATAATATTAAGCAGGCAACAGTTGCATCTTAATCTTAGGACTTGACGTTCTAATTTAAGAGCATGCCCTCAATGATCTCACAGGTTTTATATTTAGACCGTTGACGCCTGCAGGTAATTACAGGCGGCCCTTAGTGGGCGTACACGGCAAGCGCCAGCGCTTATGCTGCTATAAGATAGGTATAAATAAACACAGAGAGGCGGCCATTGTTCCAATTGCAATCAGGCAGTTGTTAACCGACGGCAACGTTATATTCTACTTGACAACAATTGAGTCTGCTAGGGAAACCGATAATAGGCCCGACAGCATACAAGCGCGATTGGCTTTACCGCACGATGGCTTGCAATAAGTAGGTTTTTTTGCTACTCCTACCTATACACTATAACTGAAGCTAAAAGTCTCTGTGCTTTCATAGCCACTGCACAAGTCCCACCACTTTGAATAAAGGGGTAGCCCTTCAGAGCCAGATGTCGAAGGAAGCAATTTTGCGAATGAAATCTGTAGAAAAGCTCCGAATAGCTTGCAGACGGCGATCGAGCCAATTCACAAAAAGACGCGCAACTATTTTACGGAAAGCACACGATCTTTATAAAGACTGCGGCGTCGACGTTTATATTGCCATCAGGAATAAGCGAAATAATCAAATGTGGCAATACTCTAATGGGTATACTCCTCCTTCAACCTTAAGTGAAGTAGGTATTATATTCATCAACTTTGGTAGCAAACATTGATCCGTGTATTAACTCGTAGCTAGGTTTACCCTGTGCCGATTATTCTAAACCCTGAAGACTTTAAGAAAAAGGAATAGCAATCTTCTATGTACATGCTTCCCAGTCTTCCATCGCTTGAGGTGTGGTAGGACTGTTGGAGGGCGTCGAGGGCTTGCGCGGCAGAAACGAGTTTCCGTTTTCTCCGGGGTAGTGGTTGGCATACTGCATGTAGAAACATTTTGTTGTCAGTACATGTATGTTCAATTCATTGAGTAGAGGCGCAGCATACACAGTAACTCAAGACATTTTTCACTTCGTCCACTGCAGCATACAATTGGTGCATCTCCTCCCTGACATTGCGAAACTGTTGGCGAAATTCTTGGCGAAATTCTTCCAGCTCTTTATGCCAAAATAAGTAAGACGCTTTATCACCTCTGGAGCGGCTTGAAGATTCGTGGAGGTCTGAGCGTGCAGGCCATGAATCTAGTACAAGCGTAAGTCTTGATTGGTTGTTCTCACGAGGATCGCAGCTGTCTGGACGCTGGTCTTGGCTTGGACGGAGAGGCGGGAGCTGTTCCAGAGACATGGTGGGTATAAGATTGGAGAATATATTGTATATGTTATATTGTTCACAATAAGAGCATTGGACGATATGCCATATTTATATTTGATGTAGATATTAGCCCCTACGTACTCTTGCTAAATACATAAATACATTTGCGTAAAAGCCTGTGTCCACTCTCTTGCAACCCCAGCCCCCCAGCAATTCTACGCTGGCCAGCCGTAGGGCGTCATCTTACAGCGATACAGCACAGACTAGGGCTATAACAAGTAACACGATCAGCGTGCTTGAGTTGGTGGCTTTCATCGCTGCATTAGTATGAGATACGTCTTTGGTGGGTTTCAAGCTAGTAAATGCTGTTGGCTGTTCTTCTGAAAGAGTTGCTAAGCCCAAACCAGGTCCGGAGACCTTCGTTTTCACCGTTGTTGGTGATAGCGACGGTCTAGACGTGTGATTCAAATACCCGGTGGCGTACACCGTAGCTAGTGGGAGGCTACTGCTCGTACGATTGATCCATGGCCCCGCAGTCCACTGAAAACTTCCTGTGCCAGCGGTGTGTAAAGACATGCGCTCCAGAGGTTCCGTAAACAAGGTTTTCCATGACTCGCCGGGCCACAAGGATGGGTTCGCGCTGCTTTCGGGGAAGCTCGTACTAGAAGCGGTAACTGTAATTGGCATCTCCCCGGCTGTAGCATGTGAATACGCCTTGTGCGCGATTGTTGTTGTTCGTGCTTGTAGAGACATCGTGCCTTGCGCCGTAGATAGTGCTACACACACGCCTACTGACGGAGTATGACTGTGCTGCGGGTCTTCCACCATGCATTGCCTGTATTTGGAGGTGTTAGCAGCCGCTCTCATTAATCATGAGAAAGCTCGGCAAGGTCGCACCAGAAAGCGCCGATTTCTTCATCGCGATCGTTCACAAGTGCGGAGCAGGAGTCTTCATCGCCTTCACAGTTTATAGGAGGATTAAGGGCAAGCGCCAATAGTGGAATATCGGGACTGGCACACGGCCAGCCTGTCTCACACGCTGATTTTAATTCTATGCCCAGCCTGACACAAGTTTAGCTTCATTGAACGCATTTTTTATTCATGTCTCAGTATTACTTCAGTGAGATATTGGAGGTCCCAGTATGAAGCATAATTGATGAGTCCGAAAAATACGTTGTTTCATACATCAACGCCGGGTAAGCGAATAGCGCGAATAGAAGAAGAATGAGGCCGGTGGCGTTCATATTGGAAATTTGGCAGATGGTTGTACTGAATCGGGATTTCTTTGGATAGTCTAGTTACCATATAGGAGTGCATTGGGCGCCCTGCAAGGTTTTATCAACATCTTACCATTAACATCATGTAACATTTGAACGTGCATTAAGGAGACATCATTGATCTGGACGCACGGTTCTAAATTTCAGTTGATCTAGCAGAGGCCTAATATAAATACCGGGTTTATATTTAGGGCACTTAGCGCTTGGTGATTCAATTTCCAGGTTGACTCCCAGCGCTCTGTAGCAGTTGCTCCTGGCGCTAACTTGCGCCTACTTAAGGCGCTGAAAGTCGGGCTCAGTTTCACTAATACCAAACAGCAGCACGAGTACATTAATCGAACACTTAGACGTCTACAGTGCTTACAGCTACCTAACAACCATCAACCGACTGAAAACTTTTGCAACATGGAATATCGTCACTCCGACAAAATGCCCATCTCGAGTGCTGGATTCTTCAAAGACAACAAATTCGCAATGGCCGCGTTGGAGCCTTCGGATACCCCTCGGCCTGGCCCCGAAAAAGTTGCGGTCAAGTCAGAATCCCCTCATATGGCGACTTCGGGATGTCAAGGCTGCACGCATCGAAACTCTACTGAACAAGCGTCTTGTCCAAAATGCAATACATTTGCATTTCTTGATCAGTTGATGCCCGACACTGGCGGGATTGGCATAGATGATAATCTCAATGCCTTCAACAACTACACATCAACTGAGGATGTAAAATGGTGAGAGATCTATCCTATTAGTTGATGCTAAAGCTAACGTTTTAGGATGCTTATGGGAATAACGTCCCGTCTCGACGCCCTGGAGACCGCGGTTTCCACTGGAAATAGCCGAATGGATCAGCTAAACTCCCATATGATCGCATTGGTAGGGAGTATTCCTAGCAGAGAAGAGTTTATTGACATCATGGGCGATCTAAAGAAAAGCATGAAGGGATTTACCAAGGCGCTACTGCTTCAACTTTTTGGCTGTCATGTTCTAGGGGAGGTGGACGCAGGACATAATCCATAAGGCCTACACAAGGAATACGCGGCCAAGAATTTACATAGCCAATAATAGTAATTTAGGAGCCGCCATCCTAAACGCTCACATTCTTTATATAAAGCAGAGCTTCCCTTCAGCGCATTCTATACAACTAGAGATACAATACTTATCCAAGTTCGTGCGCATGCAAAAGTTCATTCTCATATATGCCTTGATACTAAACACACTCTGAACTTTTTCCCCTGCAAACTTCCACACCTCTTACCCATTGTTATGCTCAGAAAATTTACAATGCAAAGGTCGGAGAAGCCTCTTCCTCCGCTTCCGCAAACCAAAAAGTCACCGGCTCCTGTGCCTCTAGAGAGCCACCAATGTTCATCTTTGAACCAGCAAAACACGCATTTAGAGCGGCAAAATGAAACGTTGCGCTACGCCTTGCGAAAGGCAAACGAAAGGATTACTCGGCTACAGCAACAAATGACTGAGTACCAGCGTTACATTACGCGACAGCACGAAGATTTTGCCCGAGTAACTCGGAAAGTTCATTCAGCCTTCCAAGAATACTATTCTGCAGTGGAAAGCAGCAAGAGTGAAATCAGTTCAATGGGGGTGGATCTAATGAGTGAACCTGTACAAACATGTGCGGCATTTAGCGACAGCGAGGAGGACTTAATCTAGGACTTACGATGATCTTAATTAAGACGTAATACATATAAATATTACCTACCAATTTTGCAATCTCCGCTGTGCTTGAGCGGGTGCTTCCCATCTGCATGTTGGTTGATACGGTCCACTTAAGGAGCCGGAATGGATTGCTTGTAAACCGGTGCCCCATACAGTCGCCGGTGGTGTTCCATCGCCGAAGCTCCACTAAACCGCCGAGAGCAAACCTCATGAATCCTTAGTCAAAGTCGCAATGCCGAGTCTTACTGAACTACTAGGTGGAGACATACCTATGGGATGCCCGATGTCTAGCCCGAGAAGTGCTGCAAAAGTTTTCTTCCAAGTCACCCAGTCTAACCGCCGGGGCTAACAAGCGCATGCAATGCTTAAAATACGACATGGACACAAAATGCGGCAGTGTTAAAATTAATCCTGTTTTAAATAAAACCGCCTAGACAATTTAGAACGAGCCTTTCTAACTTCTTATATAAATACTGAAAGTTACATGTAGCTTGAGGTTTTATTGAGATATTAATGTCTATGAGTTTCAATTAACTGCTCTCTCATACATAAACACACACGCACACAAGAACTGAGAAATTTTCTTCATTAAGATACCAGACATTATGGCACCTATTACCTGCAAAGTCGTTGATGCTTATGGCCATGGTGTTCAGGGAGTTCGAGTTACACTGGACTGCCGCAACCGGTTTCGCAACCATACTATGAAGCTGGAATCATTCACCGATGAGCAGGGTGGAATTAGCTTCTGGTATCCGTCTCCTGTATCCCATGACTTTTCCGCTCTTGAGCCGCAGATTGTGGATGCTGTTATGATCCCTTACGTGGCTTTGACTTTTCATCCTCACTCTCAGCTCATGCCCCCCCAAGGCCCATGGCTGAGCATCCGCGCCGATCTCTACCTTCCAAGCATGGCTAGCCATGGGGTTGTGCTACATCTTGAAGAAAGCCCGCGTCTGGAGTACACGCCCTACCCGGTTTCAGGCTCAATGGGGCTATTGATGGCTTCTCCGCAAGCATTGGACATCCTCAGAACGCCATCGCCACTTCAGCTTCCGCCACCGCTTTTAAATTGCTCAAGCTACTCATCTTCATCGGATGATGATCTAGAACCAACAACTGATGAAGAAAACGAGATTGTAACGGGGAACCGGAAGAGAAAGCTAGACCTAGAGGTGGGAGGGGCCCCGCCCACAAGACGGCAGCGGACAGAGTACATGTAGTGCCAATGACGAAATACTTGTCAACAGGTGCAGTCATTTTTTACGTCTCTTAGAATGGTATCCCACATATACATGTTTATTATATATATATAATCCATCAATGCATCTCCTGATCTTATTAGTACTATCTCTTTATATCGGCCGATTTTCTTGCTTCCATTAACTCATTTGTAAAGTCAATAGGTCTTTTGACCGGAAATCCATTTTCGCCACAGAGCTAATCAAGGACAGTCTGATTGATTTGCTCTTCTTGGGCTAGTGTTTTCTCTTAGTTCCGCACCATTTCCCTTGGTGAACACCTGGATGACTCCGCTCGCTGTTGGCTCTAGTCCTTGCTGTAGAAAATACATGTATCCACTCTTACAGACTACGCAAAAGTTCCAGACACAGTTCAATATGACCAACAGCTTATTACCTATGTATTGCTGATCAATCTAGATTATTTGCCTTTTTCCCCTTTATTGCTCCGCTGTTGTGATTATTAGGTTACAGGCGCCCTCAGGTGGTGTAGATAGAGCTGACCCATAAAATGCACGTCGGCGCTTTAACAGCTCTTCTTATTGGCTCTTTAAAATTAGTGTATGTAAGTCCTAAAATTCAACACTGGTTAAATTAAGACAGTCCTAATAATAACATCAAGGGATTGAATACGTGAATTACTGTTCTCGGTTGCTCTTCTTTTCTTATATAATTCCTCTTCCCAGCTTTTTAGTTACAAGTACTAAACGATTGCTTTTACAAGATATCGCAACATTACAATAGCACATAAGAACACAATGAGTTCCAAGTCGAATGAAGACATTGTTTGCTATGGCTCTGTAAGATTTACTTTTGCTTCCCAACTTGTCATTCATGTTTTATTAACAAAGAGCAATCAGATCGAACTGCCCCGGGTCATTCAGACACCTATGGGAATACGGCTCCATTCGTCCACTATTAAACAAATGGAAGTCATATCATTTCCAAACATCCAGTTATCCTTAATCTTAACGGAGGGAAACATTGTGTCTTTGAACATCTATGGTCCTCGGAAATACATGTTTTTCATAGCTAGACAGCTAAACGGTGTCGGTCTCACTCTTGAACACCCACACACAGTCAGGGATGGTGTGCAATACCAAAATGCTCAATGGCCGGATAATCCATACACCAAGGAAAGCATGAATCATCATGTCAAATTTGACGGCAGGGAAATCATGATATGGTCACCATCAGGCGTATATCAGGCCCAAAACGCAAAAAATACCTACAAAGCATTTTTTCTCCGAATGCTTAAATTTTAGTATTAGGAAGCTAGATGCTGGATTCAATGTCGTGTAGCAAGCAAGAAGGCCTTTTTCGTTTATTAATAAATGGTTACTTGGATGCTAAAATGCTTGTCATCGCTGTGGATGTTCCCTATTAGCTTTCAACTAAAGCCTTTAGTAACAAGAATAGGGCCGCGGGCCGTTGTCAAGTTTGCCCGACTTGGACTTCCAGATGGCCCATGCGAGGAACCTTTGCTCGGCAGCCAGTACGTGATGTTAATCGCTTTACTGTGCACATCGCAATGTAAGGGGCGGAACGCATTCCCCGAACACATAAATCCGCCTTTCGCGTTGATTCATAATCCCAGTCGATGGTATGCATGTTGGTCGTTGATTCATGGGCTGAGTGGATGAGAGAAAAAAACCGCAACTGCAATGTTTGCAGCGGGTTTTCCTAATGCGATTTGCCTCACATGACGGTGTGTCGACGCGGGCTAGCGAGTGGGCATCAGCGGAGCCTTACTTACGGAGGCTAGGCTTGTCCCGAGAGAACGGATCACCCGTGTCTTAGCGCCAATTCATGCAAGCTCGTCACAGCAAGTACAAGGATTATACGAAGTGATTTCTCACGTTCCGCACTGCCTCGCTAACTAGCCCAGGGCTCGTGAGATCATTCGGCTCTTTCAGTAATGTAACTAGTTCCAGGCACTTATCAATATCATACTCGATCGGCTGTCAAGGCCCTACGCGCCGTACCTGTTTTACTTCAGTAGCGTTACCTAGGTCAACAATATGACTACACGTCAATTTCCGAAGCCCTTTCCACCAATCGAACTACTGCATCCCCACCATCTGTCTTAGCTCCAGAAACGTGTATCATAAGCTGATCACGTATACTAGTGAATCTGATGGCGTGGATCTAGACATTGGCATCAACCGGCTCCATAAGGCACATTGCAAGATACTATCGGACACGGCACAAGCAGAATCCAGGCAGCCGATTGCATGTTCATAATTAAAATAATGTCCAAAGCAGCTAGACTCTAAAGTGGTGGCGTATGATACGCAAAAATTGTATCTAATGCAACAAAGAGTCTTTCTCTTAATATCCTCTGCCACTAAAAATCCACCGCGAGGATGGCTTTTGTCCCGTGAGAAGGATGAAATCAGTATGAAGACAGTAGCCATCGAGTCCACTATCCACACCAAGAGCCAGACATCGGTCAATTTGCTTGGCAGATTGGCCCATCAGTCGATCAAAGTCATCTTCCCCAAAGCATGACTGAGTAATAAAGAACCCTGGGCCTTTCATCGAGATTCTGATTCCTGTTGCATCACGCGCGCCCGGCAGCCTGCTCATAAGCCCACTCAAAGAGCCTACCTGAAAGCCGTCTTGAGGTTGCCAGTCGGAAACGAATGTAACCGATTTAGTGGCCTTCCATACAGAGTATGTGAACTTGGATATTTTATTCAAGTTCTCGGTATAGTCTTTGTTTGTTCGTGAAGTAAAAGAAGAGCGTGAGTCTTGATCCATTTGTAGCTTATATGGCGGGTTCGTATTGATAGCTCTATAAAATAGTTGAGTCATGATGTTGTGTATCCTTTTGCGCATTAGTTCCGTTAAAAGATCTTCAATGTCTTGTTTTCACTTACTCCGCCTGATCAGTAGTATATTTTAGACGTAGGGGGGATGCTGTGGTGTCCTTGTCCGGCCAGAAATGCCGTCCACCTCCCAAGTCGTCCAGGAACAATCTGGCCATGTCGTCGAAGGCGTCTTTATAGACAAACCAATTGCGAAGATCGATACCTCTCTCACCATCAGAAGAAATAAATTCACGTACAAACCTCTCCACCCCCTTCTGGAAACATTCAGACTGGAGGCGAGATGAAGTGCCGTAGCCTAGTTGTTCCAAAAGCTGGTCGAATGTAGGGATAAGAAAGGCCATTGTTTTTGTTAAGATTTTTTTCTTAGAAGAAAGCTGAATTTTTGCTAAGCTGGAGGGATATGCCCCGGAACATCTTAGAGTTTAAGTATTCATGGAGCAGTAACGTAACATTTCAGCGATGGAGACCATGTCAACAGCGTAACATACTCATGATACCGCCGACACTTTCCTTTCTTCCTTCTTTGAGATTACGCTAGCGCATCCCAACCTCCTCTTTTCGCAGCAAACTACATCTACACCCTCGGCCTCCATGTTCCCTTTACGCCGCCTAATTTCGGAGTGTCCACTGTCGACAATTCTTAGGTGGGGACTCCGTACGGGCAGCGGACTCCGCAATGAGCTCCACCACGGCCACGGCGGCCCACTATGCCCGAGAGTCTGTGTCTGCCCGGCGCCAAAGTCGACATTACGTTCATCTCATTTGTTGACAGAATGTGATATAACTATGAGTGCGTGCCTACCCCGCCTGAAGAAGTGGGCATTAGGCATCAGTAAAATGGGATAATACGACTTAGGCGGCAAAATTCATTTCTTACCTCGGATACTCCGGCTTATTTACTGCTAGCCCCCAGTGCCAAAATCCCCCAACCCTCCATCCTGCTTTTACCACTCAAACTTCCCATCAACATTACTTACAATACGAGAATCAGTAACCAATGGACCCCTCCAACAACAATACGGTGCAGACGGAGACCACTCCACCATCGTATCAACGAGATGAGCTTTTGAAAGAGCTAGAAGAAGACATGGATCGAATTCGTGAAGCAAAGATCGAGACGGAACGGTCGATGAGAGATCAGTTCATGGCCCAACTTGATGAATCCTATACCAAGATGGAGAAACTACTCGCGGAGATCACGTCAACGCGTCAATCTGTATGGTTTCCTTTGGAGCATCTATTCACCTCTTACTTATTCCGTTGCAGTTTACCACTCTATTCAGAGAGCATCAGAATGCGAGCCAGGGACGAAGCTGCGAAGATGAAGATGTGTCTCCGGAAAACACGAAGCACGAGGCGGAAGATGCTAGTAAAACAAGTGAACTCTGATACTTAGATGTATAAGCTTGACTGTCCTCGTTGCTATTGCTGTTTAGCTATTGTATTGCGACAGAAGAATAATATCTAGAAGCGGCATTGTGTTTGCATTCGCCGACCGAAAAGAGTCACCTATGTCCCTAACGATTGGCGTATTATAAGCCTGCCATTTCTTTCCAGTATAATAAAGAACGCTTTGTGTGACCAAACTGTAACTTCCGGGTAGAATGATTGAAGGAAAGACCAATTGTGATATCGTGAACATCTCATCTCTAGAGCAAGCACACATACAATTAGGCACTAGTATGTCATTTACTTATAACCTGTTTCTAAACAGAGCATTGATACAAGCGTGCCACGCAATAGTCGATATTTTTTCTTTACGTCTCATGGAGACGCAAAATCAGATTGAATTCCTTCCATTGCGAAGAATTTCCTGGCCGGTCGCTCGACCGCAAACTGATTAATCCACTTTTCCTTGTCTCCGCCCGGAGACTGATCCTATTGAGACAAAAAGCGCGAGCAAAGCGCGAGCAAAGCGCCTATCTAAATATAGATCAGTGAATACCTGATAATCATCTATTATTAGATTGGGATTTTCTTAAGCCTTGGTACGGATATAAAAGACTCATTAAAGCACTAGCAAGCTCATCATCCATCGACTCTTACAATCCATGCAACGCATTCTACTACCATGGCCAGCGCTACCACAACAAAAGAGGAGTTCTATTTCATTCCTCTTGATGACAAAAATGTTAGCCTCTCAGCTATAAGATACGAACTTGAGCAGTTTCACCTCGCATTCAGCTTGATTCGGGAGGAAATCCTTCACATATCACACACGCTCCCGCAAATTGACGGCAGAGTTGCTCGACTCATGATGTATAACAAAATATTGATCAAATCGATTGATAAACAAGTAATTAGAGTACTCTAAGCATATATGGTCTCTGCTAATAGTTCACCAGCTATATGGAGCTATCCCAGAAACTCCTGTGACTGCCACTGCGCCACAAGCACCATGGCGAAATGAAATGGATAAGACATGATCAAACTATAACCAGATGGGCTGAAATAATTCCTCTTACGGCGATAGCATTCAATGTACTGTAAAAAGATTATAATAGAATGAAGACACAGTTGGCACCGATAAGACGGACTTCCTTGCCCGCCGATGTATGTGAGGAGTTTCTTGATGAGTGGGCGGTTAGCAACGTATTGTGGTTGGCTCCAAGGCAGAGGTTCAATTCAATTACTCAGCGTGAGTCACAAAGTCAGGGCTAGCGTCTTGGGGCGGAAGAGGAAAGGTGAGAGGCGCAGTGCAAGAAATAAAACAAGTATAAAACCCCGATCCCCATCACCCATTCATCAATCTCCTATTCTCCTATTCTCCTATTCTCCTACTCCCCTATTCTTTCATCTGTTAATTTATCATTACAAGCAAAGTAACGGCTATGGCATTTACTCTCCGTCTTCCACGTCCTCCGCAGCCAACAATGACGCACACAGAAGAGGGGACGGAGGAAGCACGCAAAGTGCTCCTCTCATTTGACCAGCTACCAGAATGGCATCAAGACAACGAATTCATTCTTCATGGCTACCGCCCAATCTCAGGCTCGGGTTGGGTTTCATTTCGCAGCTGGTTATATATTCACAATGAATCTGTTAACATATATTCCCATCTGGTACCAACAATTATCTTTTTACTCAGCGAGTGGTACCTTTTACAATATCTCCAAAGTCAATACTCCAGTATTACTATTGTTGATTCTTTTATCTTTAGCTTCTTTTTCATCACTGTTGTTATCTGCTTAGGGCTATCAACAACATACCACACTTTAATGAATCATTCTTCTAATATTGAACAATTATGGCTGCAATTCGACCTAGTGGGCATAGTGATTTTAGAATTGGGTGACGTTATATCAGGAATATATATGGTCTTCTGGTGTGAACCGTTAGAGCGTAAGATTTACTGGTCAATGGTAAGTTAGTATAGTATCCCATACCTTTTTACTTTAAATTATATTGACCTCACTTGGTAGATTGGAGTTCTTAGTTCTTTTACTATCTTTGTTATGTTGAATCCCTATTTTCGGGGTACAGAATTTCGTGTTTTCCGAGCACTTGTGTTTATAGGGACGGGCTTATCTGGCTTTGCGCCTTTAATACATGGAATCAGGATATTTGGCTGGTTGCAAATGATGAAACAATCTGGAATGTTTTATTATTTAATTGAAGGGGGGCTTCTTTTCATTGGGGCTTTACTTTATATTGTAAGTATGTAACTCCAATTTTTAATGGGAGAGTTAGTTCTAATACTTCGATATATAGACAAAATTTCCTGAGAAATACTTTCCAGGTCATTTTGACATATATGGCTCCTCCCACCAACTCTTTCACATACTAGTTGTCTCCGCTACTGCATTTCATCTGATTGGGATATTGGATGCCTTCAACTATAATTACATTAATCGGACTTGTTCATCTCACTGAGTCATCTACTTGTGTGGGGCGTCGGATATATTCTCGTGGATCACATGCAATACATAATACTCATAAAGGCGGAATAGACGGATACGATAGGCCTGCCTGAAGCATTTCATGTCTTGGATATCTGCAAAATTAGAAACAACAGGTAAAGTAGATCTACTATTAGCCAAATAAAGCTTAGAAAGACAAGTGACTAGGCGCAAATGAGCTGTACGAAACGAGAATGGTATGTACTAATGGCCTTGTGGCAAGAGGGAGACCAGATCCTGAGATAACTGTTGGTGACTGGAGATGCGAGCGGCTGCTCAAACACCCAATATTGGCCTGAAAGCTGCGGCCTGAAAGAAATGACTCCGCCACCCAGCGTCAGTAGGTATATAAGGGGGGATTCCTCCCCTCCAGAGAAAGCTTCTTTCTTTCATTCATTCATCATCTCTTCAACCGATCTCAGCATAAATCTCAAACTCCTCTTCTCACCAAACATTTCATATTTTTCTCACCATGTTCTCATCATCTGTACTGAATGATAGCGTCCAGCTCCCACAAATGCAGCAAAAACTAGCTGGAACAATTGAGAATATTCTTCAAATCGAGACGGACACTTCTTCTAATGGAATGGATCTATTCACCAGACTCAGGGACACCATACGACAGCGAACGAGGGATGAGCATTCCCGGATAGAGTCGTTTGCCATTCACCTGAATCTCGCGGCTGATTATACGGCTAAAGGGCTGCATGACTTATTAGCAGAGTCTGAGTCTTCTAGCTCTGATGAATCTGTCGATACTGAGCCTGAGTCGATGGCTGGAGGTGCTGCTACGGAATATAATGGACTCGTCCACTCTGAAAGGTTGAATGACCCACCATCAGAGTCTGAATCTCCGAGTTCTGCTGAACCTATCGATGCCGAGCCTGAGTCGACAGCAGAAGGTGCCACAACGGAGTTTAATATGCTCGCCTACCTCAATGAGTCTATTGTTAATTTTCGCCAATTATCGGTTAGTGGCCGACTTCTTGTGAAGAGTACGGGGCACAAATTCAGTGTGGACTCGTTGGAAACACTCGCACCAAATAAGTCCTTAAGCATCGACATGATCACCGCCTGCTTACAGCTTTTTGCCAAACTACCTGGAGTCCGGGTGGGCTCACTAATTTCTTTTTATCACACTCTTCGTCGTCCTTTAGAAAAGGCGGCGAAACAGATGGCCATTCTTGATGGAGTGGAAACTTGTCCTCGCCACGTTTATTTTTTTCCGCTACGCCATTGCAACAATGGTTATAGTCTTCTTGAAGTCAATATCAGGGACCGTTATATCTTTCATTATGATCCCGTATGGACAGCGAGAAGCAGAGTCGATGTTAGGGTAGGTTAAGTTATATATATATATTTACGGATCTAAGCTAACCTAAACTAGGATGCGTGTATAACTCAATTCCCAACTTATAGATATATTGCCAAGGTAAGCCCTCTTTTCATGAAATTTATAACGGATTTGGCTAACCTGACCAGTGCGGAATATGGGAGCCTAATGTCCAAAACTGCGGCCTTGCTGTAATTGGACATGCTTGTATGCGCATGCTCGATCTTTCGATAGTACCTGGAGACTATGATTTGGATATGATTAGAATACATACAGTTGAAGCCTTCAACAACGCATGGGCAATGGGAGATTTATCAGAAGCTCCCTTACGTCTGTTAAAAAACTAGGAGCTATCTCAGCCAGCAGAAGCGCAAAGCACCAAGAGACAGAAGCATTGATTGAGAACTGAGATATTCTGTAATAATCTTACTTCAATAAAAAGATATTGAATAGTATAACTTATAGATTTGTATTCACAAGCTTAAACTTAGCATACGAAGTTCCCCATATGTGAGGGTGTTTACAAACGTAGTATAAATACTTCCAATGAAACTCGAAACTATTTAACTGTTATTGTACAGTAAGATAAACGAACTCTATCACGCTTTATAAATCACAATACCCAGGACCACGGGGTTGCATCATAGAGATTGCAACACACCGTTCCGGATCTCGCTAGCACAATCATCTGCCAGCCTTGCTTCATCACATCCCTTCCAACTGAGCTTTGAAAGCCCTTGCATCTCATTGTATCGGGACTCTGGGTATCTGATGATACCATGTTACCCAAACGCCTTTGTTGGTGCCCCGGAAACTCTGAAATGTGTTCTAAAAACGTTTTGTTGCACGTCCGAAAACTCTGCTCCCAATCGCTGTTGATGTTTAGGATTCTACCTCCACATTCTACCCAGTATATACTGTGCAGATTTTTTCTTCTATCGTCGAGCCAGCGAGCCAGTATCTCATAGTTATGTTGAGATATGAAGGATCGCCATATTTCTCCGTAGTCCAGAAAAAGAGACTCGTCATCGCCAAATCTTCTAATCTTGGTGGTTGAAGTATTTGCCTGGGTAAACGTAAAGCTTGTATTCCGATACTTCCCCATTGTTCGCCCGCCATTGACAGTGCTGTAACTTGATGTGGGCTCCCAGAGTATCGATTGCTTGACGCTGGCTTGTTGGTAGTACATGTGAGCTGCACACCAACCCCCGATGAATGCCTGTAAATGGCTGGCGTAATAATTCTTCACAAACTCCATACAGCCCGTGATTCCTTTATCGTAACAGCCTATAATGAGGTCTATTTGCTCGACTCCGCGGGGCGTGGATATTGTTCCGTGCAGAACACTGAATGGCTGGCCAAGGGCATCTTCGTAGGTCGTATCCTCGAAACCGAGAGTCACGTCGCTAGGGAAAATATCAATTTCCCCATCTTTTTGAAGCATTATTGTGAAACTGCTGGATTTAATCTCATCCATATAAAATTCCATGTCAACCTGGCGTAAAACGGAACATAGCTTCTCCCCTAAAAGATATGTCGGTCTCTCTAGAGGAGCATGCGCCCAGGTGCTTAAGGCGATCATCTTTCTTCTGCTGACGATTACAACACCATTTGCTTGTAAATCGTCAAAGATGTCCTGTCCAAATAGTTCCCAAGTAACGCCGTTGATGCTCAAAGCGGTGATGCTATCCGCCACAGATTCCTTGTAGCCTGGAATAATGAGCTCCCAGCGGGCATTCGGCGGAGCTGAGCCTGGAATAGTAAATTCCAAGGCGCGGTACCCGCCAAAAACACCGCCAACGTCAAACATAACAGACATGAGTGTGGCCGGATATGGAAAGGTAGTGGAAAGATATTTGAGGGGATTCATTCGATCTTGGCAGCTAGCATCCAAAGCTTTGCTGAAGGGAAAGTTTTGCTTCAGTATGTTGACGTCACTTATACTGAGCTTTTTGATGACTTCAGATATAGCGTTAACGCTCATATTAGTGATGTGGGTGGAAGCCATTATGATAAAGATTCTGAGTGTTGATGAATTGTTGGAAAATAAGCGTTACTTCATGGATTTGTACGTGACATATAAGAGGTATTAATTACATAGAAGAGCGAATGTGGTGCAGTGAAGTTGCTGGGAGTATTAAATTTCGTCGCGCCTTAATTTGACCTAGGTACCTAAGCTAGATACCTACCAGATTTTCGGGTGTACTAAAATAAAGCTGCGAATAGCTGCTGGTATCTGCATGTTTGTGCGCGTCTTAAATTTAACACCGGCGTTATAATTGGCCAGGGCAGCCGCGAAGGTACTGGTAACCTGTGCCTGCCACCGTGGGCTGTTATGCTGCTATAATTAGGAACAAGTGTTTGGTGGCTGGCAACTAATACACAAGGGACAAGGGGGGCCGGCGGCTATTGAAGCATTGAGCGGCACAGTAACCAGCAACATAAGCGTAATGGATCATTGAGTAACCAGCAACAGAAGCGTAATGGGTCATTAAGTAACCAGTAATATACAATATTCTTAAGTTCAGATTACCAGTATGCCTAGGCTTCCAGCAACTTTCAGCGGGGGAGTGACTGGCCACCCCGAGGTCCCAGCAACTACAGCAGGAAGGAAACATCAATTACCAGCCACTACATGATGTTCTTATACTCTATTACCAGTCACTATGTGGTTTTTTTGCGCTATAGTTACCAGTCATAAAACAGTCTACGGCCGCGTAATTACCAGTTACTGCACACACTCCTACTTATTTTGCTAAGGAAATTTTACTATATTGGAGGCACATATTACTGGCAATTAAAGTAAACTTCCTTCTGTCTCTTTTCTACAACGTATGTCGTTATACTAAAATGCACTTAGTTACTAGTATTGATAGCATTTTAAAGCACTGTAGATTCTTGCAATTTTGGCAGCCAGTTGAGATAATCTCGTGGATGTCGCCATGACCAATTTGGACAGAGGTATGCGTGCAGAGCCTTCGGTACGCGGATTAAAGTAGTTACCCCGCCAACTATCATGATGATAAGCATTAGCCAGTGTCGAATCTTCTCCATGAACATCCCCATGTCCGGCTAGTAGACCGTTGGTGCCTTACCACTGCCAGCGCCATCACCATCACAATGTCGAACGCGTCTGTAACACCGCCGATGCGCGTATTCGGATGGAATACACATTTTTTAGCCACGTCCGCTGGCGTTCGATTTGCTGGCCTGTTCCGACTCGATGGTTTCGATATCACATACCGCGATGTCTTGACCGAAATGCGTTTGTGCTTCGATATACCAACCAGTATATCCCAAGATTATGAACAAAATCACGGCCAGGATGAAAATGTAGGTCCTTGGGATAGCCTTGCCTTTGCATTTACCGACTACGTGAATCTACCTCCAGGCGAGGCGTCTGCTCCTCCTACCACTATTGTAACTTGCGATCTTGATCAGCTGGTGCCTCCTCCTCCACCTGCATTGCCAACGAACATAGAAGAGCCACCCATTATACGCTTTCGCCTCGTTCGACACCGCTCCTGTGGCCTACCGAGCACTGCTCCGTTGGCATTACATCTCGAAGGTTCGCTTCAAGGAGCTGAATAATATCCTATCCTGCCAGCTAACTATATCTCAGGCGGCTGCGCGCAGCACATTCCGCTCCCTACGCGCCGCAGGGATCCTCGATATCTCCCTCCCAAAGTGTCCTCGACCGATCCTCGAATTTCTTGTCTGCCACTTCGAAAGAGGGCGACAGGAATCAGAAGCTCACGATCACCCTCTAAGCGCTCCGCATCCGGCTCTGTGTCCCCTGATAAGAACTCTGAGTCAGGCCAGCTGCCCATGCATGAAGAGGAATCTTTAGCCAACATGGTGGCGCCGCCCGATATAAATATTGCACCCGACTTCGGCCGTCAGACTATCGCGAATTTTCGCTCGTCGCTTCTAACGTTTGCTCGACGGTGCGCTGTGTCAGGGAAGGGTCGGACTTGGTGTTATAACCCTGTCATCGGCCCTGCCGTACAGGCATGCCACATCGTTCCCCAACAGCACTATCATCTATATCCTGATCCTCTTCTTGATCCTGAGAGCAATGATGGCCTCGAGCTTAGTCCACAGCGTCTGCTTAAGTCGTGGGAATCCACCTGGGCTTTCAGCAATGGTATCCTTTTACTGAGCCACTTCCATGAACTCTTCGACTCTAGGCTATTCTCTATCCACCCAGATACGCTGCAGATCCGGGCTTTTGTGCCCTACGATGTCATTTGCGATTACCATGGACGGAAAGCCGCCTTGGGAGCCTATGTCGATCGCAATGCCTTGCGGCATCATTACGAGATGTGCTGTATCGAGAATATGGCTGCCGAGATGCCGCTGAGGGACCAACTTTTCGCTCTCGAAACTGAGCCGACCACACCCAGCACGGCATCGCTTATCAATGCCAGGATGACATTTCCTTTCGTACCGACTTCGATAGGTATGCATGAACAGCTACACTCCGGAGATAATCGTCAGTCGACACAGCGCTCTTCTGGCGACCCATCCAAAAGGGCGCGACCTGCAGAGGATAGCTTGACTCCCGATATACATGAAGAAGATGGAGCCTCGGGTTTTATTGCACCAGATGGAGCAACTTATCAGAAAAAGCACAAGCGAAGACGGCTATCACAGCACGCGCTGGAAGAAGCGCTTGGGGTTCTTGGTGGAGATGTAACCCCCCCACGAGCCTACGATAGCTATGTAATGCCTCTTACCTCGGAGTCCTTCCTAGCGGATGTGAACTGGAAATTATCGAAATTCACCTCTACCTAAGATTGACCACTGGAATTAAAAAGCATACAGTTGACACGCAACACGTACGATGAATGATTACCATTACATTGCTCTCTTGAGGTGGCGCCCGAGGGGAAAAGGGTTTCGTTTTTGCAAGGCAGTTGTTACATATAGTGCTCAAAATTATATAGCCATATAACAAAGTATAGCGCAACTCTTGTTTGTAGTGATATATCCAAGCCTGTAGTGTTCAATTTCCATTTTTGGCTGCTATCCTAATAAATATGATACTAGGAGTGGTACAATGGCGAGGGAAACATGCAAATTATATAGATCACAATCTCGAGCTTTCAGGCCATATCCAACATCGATGAGCTACTAGCTTGGTAGACGGCTTACATCAGCTCAAAAAGAGAGATGTAAAGTTTCGATTTTCAACCTCCTTGGGTCCTGGACATCAATATCCTCGACAGTTGTGACGCGAGTCACCATGTCGTCACGAAGGGGCACAAGAATGTGAAGACCTATGCGGTATTAGCGAGCGTCAAGTTTGCTTTGCGTCAACTCACAAGATCCAGTCTTAGAAGCTACATATGTAGCTGATCTATCGTAACCAGCTTGGGCTGCCATGACATCAATAGATTGCTGGTTGTACTTATAGGCCTTAAATATGTTGAGTTCCGTGTTTTTTTTTATGCGCACTCTCTTCTGTTCCCCAGGTGAGTCCTCGTGGAAAATGAAATCCATGGCTTTCGTAGCTACTAATTGCCACACCACATGGAAAGCAGGCTCGTGGACGATGCGAACATTCGACTGCCATCCCTCATTCTTAAGTACCTGACGTCCTAGGTTGCGATCAATACTATTCAACATTTCATCCAGCCGATCACGACCTTTCTCAATGAAATTATGGAAGGCGGGTGTAGTATATGAGGAGCGGACACTGTGCTCATCCGTATTTCCGTCTTGACCTATAATTATTTTGTTCGTAATTGGTGCCAAATCTCGCATTAATTTGTTGTTCACTTCCGGTGAGTTGTTAAAGAGGGTAGATCCTAATGATAGGGCGTGTCCAAGATGAAGGCGGTTATTGGTAGCGTAACTTGGAGCTGATTCAAATGGCCCTTGCCAGCATTCAATATAAAGGCGAGGATAAAGCTTGGTTATCCTTGCTGCAAGCTTCCACATGGCACTCTCATCCTCGTCCACCATTCGATAAAGTTTTATATTTTTAACCAATTTTAGTATCTCCATCGTTTTGGTTCCATCACTATCGATGTTAGAATCATGGATACGCCATACCAGTGCTGTAACTCACCCAGGGCCGAACTCAGTTAAAACTGAACAGTCTTCAAGTTCACATTCAATCTCCTGGCTGTTGAGAGAGATGATACGAAGCTCATCGCTTGTTTGTGGAGACTCTTCGCTGACACCTTTCCACTCATTTTTTGGCCCATAAAATGCGGGAGCCTTTAATGTGTGCCAGTCGTCATGACCCTGGATATTTTGGAGTACAATAGAAGCAAAGGTGCCTTTGAGTCGTTTGGGGCGTGGAAGCATGACCCATTTCACTTGGCTTTGTTCAGTAGATTGAGAAGACATAGTGAAGAGCCACGCGCCCATAATACTGAAGTAGTGTGTGTTTGAAAACTGCTGAAGTCTGTGTAGGGAAAGGATTGGATATCATTGTTTCAAGAAATCACAGAGCATCGCACACTTTATAGTTTATTGGATGCCCATTCCTCTGCCAAGTAGGGCGAGGGGTACGTATCTGCTATGCACATATATCACTACCATTTCCAGAGATTAAATGATACCATACAGCGGCATTTGGGTACATCTTTGTCTGCTGAAGAGCCAACAAGTCGAAGGCGCTAGCGAGCTTTACTGTGTAATGGTCTTGAACGAATGTTAAGTACGATCTTATTGCGTGGCGTGCCAAAGGAGTATCATGTGCGTCGTAAAACGGTAAGTGCGTGAAATTAACCGCTCGACACGCAATACTCCAACATAATCATTTTCCATCCTACACACCCTCGTCAATTAATTTTACTGCGACTAGAACTGGGTTATAGAGGCTCATGAGACCCACCCATCCACATCTCCCCTGATTCTCAGCTGAGCTGAGTTAAATGACCTGATAAACACGTTACGGTCTAGAAAAGACCAAGTGGCAATGGGTTTGCGAGACGAAGATCTCGTTAATTGGTGGCCAGTGTCGTCGCCATTATCCCTAAATTAAATGGGCTACTAAGCAAATGTAGGCTCACACTAGAAGAAAATCGCTCATAAACATTAAGGAGCTGATTTATAAGACATGGGACTAAATGGGCTCATTCGCAGTAACGACGCAAAAGTTCCTACGTGGTCTTTGTCTCATAAGATGCATATGGTCTCAAGCCTTATGGGACTATTGAAAAAGTTCCCTGCAGTTCAGGGCTCATGAAACCTTGCATGTTCCGCGCCCTCTCGGCTAATGAGATTCTAAAGCCCGCTAAAATCGCCGACTGATGCAAAAGTTCCCGTGTGGTCATTGGTCTCACGAGACGCATATGATCTTTAAGTCCTATGGGACTATATATGTTTTCCCCCCCTCTCGGCTTATAAGATTTTAAAATCCGCTAAGTCCACGCAACAACTGCAAAAGTTCCCTGCATAGCTTATTGTTACACTGTTTTATTGTAGACACATGAGACATCTCACCTTTGCTGATTGTACGGCCGCATATCCATCGGCAGGAAGTCGAGCTTGTAATTTATCCATTCACGCCAGATTAACGGGTCAAATGGTGATATTGAGAAACAGAAGCCTGCACGATATATTTGATCATTGTTTTAGATAGTAATCAATAGGATATGATCTGGCTTGGGGATCACCGGCTTCTGCTAGCCGATCTGCGATAACCAAAACCTTTGCCAATATCTCTCTCCTCACTTCTTTCGATACTACATAACAAATGTATACTCTTTCTACTTTTTCTACTCTTTCATTTTCGTTCCAATCGAGTCCTCCCCATTCCTTCAACACCTTTTTCTCTTCCAACGCATCATATCCTACCGGAAGTGACTGAGTAGTCGTCCAGTATGAGCCTAGCCGGTCAGCGATATCAACTCCTTTTAGGCAAAGTGTACCCTTACCAAGCCCATAATGTTTTGGTAGAACCACATAATCATCTTTCAAAGACTTTGCGATGAGTGTAAAGAAGGAGGTCACGTTGTCCATAACGAAGTATTAAATTGTGTGTAAAGAACGTTTATAGTCTCTCATGCTATCGCTTAGCGGATGGGCCCCTTATATGCTCATCCCTACAATGATCCAAAACTCTTCTTGCGTTGCTTTTGCGAGCACTATCAATGCATTTCTGCGCTAAGGTGTAGTAGCTAATACGCTAATACACCCTTTTTCTTCCCTGCAGCTTTCCTGATGCACATGTCTTATAATCGCGCCCTCCTTTCTCACACACATGTGTATGCACACTCCATTCAATCGAGCCGTCCTTAGCATCCTCAATCCAAATCTGTATGGTGGTGCAGATTTGAGATACTTCAGGGTTTGGTCCGCCCGTTACGGTGACCTGAAAGTGTTAGTTTTCTGCACAACGACTAAATTATCTACTATACCCTAAGATTTTCTTCAACTTGAGACGTTAGACAAGACATTACACACAAGATGTCTGCGCGGTAGTATTCTGCAGGAACTCCGACCGCTGTTGCATGGAATCGAGTATAGCTTTATATAGACCTTCATGCTCCATTTTTTGAAGCATTTTTCTTGTCATTTGGCCATTTGGCCAGGTACTTTAGGCATACACCCATGCTCGGTAACACGAGAGTCTCATTTCCCGTCTCATTTCCCACCTCCGTCTACTAACACACCTTACACGCAATCCTTTCTGGCGATGGTTTGGCCCCCAAGTGAAATCAGGTCCAGGTAACCTGAAGCGGGTCCTTTCAAACTTCAAACATGTAACCTTGCGTCACACTAAAAAGAGCGCGGTTCAGCTCTCATGTCCCCCGTAGCCATTCATCGATTGCCACGCAATCCCAGTCTTAGCCACTAGAGGACGGCACGCCCTCAGCCCAAATGTGGATAGCTGCGAGTGCCCAATACAAGTATTGACGTATCACAAAAGGAGACAAGATAAAAATGAAACTATAAACTAGTAGTTTGATAATCCATGCTCCTACGGGGAAGTTCCGTCTTGGTCCGATCACTCAGAGAGAGATTGGAGCTGACTACCTGTCCATATAAATGTACGTAAGGGGAAGTCAAAAAATATATTGAATAAGTGCACGTGCTCTGAATAATCGCATGTTGCAATAATAGAATACGTGTAGTCCTGGAAACTCATCCATTGTTCTAACATAGGTGCATATAGGGCTCGAAAATAGACCCGGTCTTGCCCGTGTTGCTGATAAATGATTGCAAAAGATTTGGTCATATGTTTATCGATAACAAGCCCACTAAGTAATACGCAACACCAACCTTACCCAACCCTTACCGCAACATATCCACCGATAAAGCAACAAATGATCCCACACTAGAGCGTGCTTTCAATTTTGAGGCGATGTCTTCTAGTTCCGGAGGCCGAGCACCGATGCTTACTGACTCTGGTAAAAAAAAAATAGATTTACTGCTCAGTAATCTGCCTGGTGATGAAGACTGGTTTAGGGATGAAAGCGATGTTCAGACACTGCGTGAGCGACTTACAAGTACTCGGATATCTCGTGAAATGGGATGGTGCGATATTTTTAGAGAATATCATAACTTATTAGAGGAGCTAGTCGATGGTTGGTTCGAAAACGAGGCCCGCTATTTGATGATGATAATAATTGCTACGGGCGTGGTGGCAATCGAGTCGGCGCCAAGGCGGCACACCAACGAGCACAACCAACTCAAAGAGGTGGTGTACAGTGCGATAAGACAATGTTTCCGGAAGATGGGATCAGTAGGTAAATTGGATGATAAGTTTATACAGCGACATTTGGGTAGAGCGCGGGATGGCACGCAGCTACTGAAGTCACTCGACTGCTATCCTTTCTTTTCGCGCATCTACGAGCTTCCTTATTTAGGTATAAGCCATTGATCGATTTACTTCATCCGAGATTTTGTACTGACGAATAGCAGTCCCTGTGATGCTGTCGCTATTTTTAAGCCTAAGCTATAAGGGTAGCAAAGATTACATCAGACAAGAGATATTGGCCAGAGCATCAACACCGCCTCAGATTTGGGACTCAGCAAGTATCTCCATACCAGATTTGGTGAACTCTAACATCAGGGGCAAAGTAAGGTGAGATAAATCACTCCATGGCAATGCTTTGGTACCAACTAACTCAAAACATAGCCTTGCGGCAATATACAACTTCTTAGATAAACCAGGCACTCGTCAAGTTGTCGCTGCGTTAGACGAGTTTTGGCTTGTTGGATAGTCAGATAGGACAAAACGAATATTTCCTCCCGGTACAGAAAAGCCTATATCTCTTTGAAGACACAACACTTCGTCTGGCCGCCACTCAGCTGCATGTTCCAACAGCCGCGAAAGCAACGGATCTACTTGTTCAAAAACAGCAGTGCATGCATTAGCAAATATAGGAAGTAGGAGGTTTACTCGATCTTTCAGTAAGAGAAATGTACTGTTTTGATTGAGCTGCGCCGTGGCCTGGTGTGCCGGAGACATCACATGCACTGCTAGTCCTTGACTTGAGAAATGCGTTTCTAGAGCCTCTTGCTGGAGATTTGTTAGCAATGTCTTAATTCTAAACACTTCAATACTAACCAAGCTTTGAAGAACAGCATCGGCGTAAATTTGACATGCACTTGGCATACCAAAGTTATGTAATGCTGCTGGAGCATTTAGATCAGGTATAGCTCTCTCGATAGGCTCCCCTGGAGCAAGTACTTGGGGTAGCATAGATTTCCTAACAGGGGCCGTAATTACTTCAGATATTGCATTGGCTCTAAGCCCATTGAACATAGGCTCAAAGCGCAAGAACTTATAAGGAACAAGAGGCATTGTCTGAGTGTGACCCATATGAAGAAATTGCAAGACTACAGGATCTAAGGTATTACCCCGCACCATTTTCCAGACCCCGCACCACGTGATGCTGGATAACGAAAGACGCAACTCTGCATAATGATAAGAAGACAGTGATGAAAAGAGAATGATAATGATCTATCTAGAAAATGGGGGTAGCCCTGAAGGCTCCACGAACGGAAAAATATCTTCTTGGTGTTGGAAACGAACAGACTTGCTGCACAAGTCACGGGAGCTCTCATGTGCAACTCATAACACAAAGAGGTCTTCACGACAATAGCTTCCAAACCCACTATACAAAGCGCCCTCCCTAGCTATAACAGTATACTTTGTGTACCCCGGCTATACATTGTTATCCTTCAAGAATATATGATACTTGGTCCTGAGATCATCCATTTTCTCATTTGTTTCCTCTGCTATTTCTGTGATTATTCTTGCGGCTTCAAGAATGTTTTCTTTGTTCCCCTCCGCTACCGCTGCTGCCAAAGTGTCCATAGCATCCAATAATTCTTTTTTGTTTTTCGCCAGCTTGATATTGAGATATTCTTGCATAGAATCGGAGATTGGA